GGGAAAAAAGGAGACGCTTCTCTTATCTCCAGCTATGTGAGAGGAGCTTTCAGGGAAATGCATGGTGAACTTGATACATATTACCTGGAGTGTGGCTGAGTACAGGGACTTGGGGGTCTGATACTATGTGGAGAGAGAGAGGGAGAGAGAGAGAGAGAGAAACAAGAAGGAAATGCTGGGAATAAGTTTCACTTTTACTGGCTATAGGTACATGACTTTTCTTCAAAGGAAAGTGCTAAAGTCTTTAATCTACTTTTATAAGCACCCAACACAAGACAGATTAATGCATAGATAAAGGAAACTATAGACGAATAGTTATGTGATAAAAGCAAGTATAGCAAAATGATCCCTGGGATTGGTGGAGGGAAATTCTGCCTGATGCCAGCTCACAAGCTTGCCTGGCTGAGTTCTCATGGGATCAAGCAGGGCTTTGAACCAAGGGCTGAGAGCTAGGTTCCTATGGGATGGCTCTAAAAGGTCACTTTTTTTTCAATACATATTTATTGAGCACCTGCTATGTGCTAGGCATTGCTATAGTAGTGAGAATGCAACAGATCATAATAAGGCTTTTATTGTAAGTAGAAAAATTTAAATTTCACAGGGGTTAGTGATAGTGTTCTGCATCTTGGCAGAGATTTGGGTGACATAGGGGCATGTATTTGTTAATGCCCAAGCTGGTTCTAGTTGTTTTTTTTGTTATGCAGTTTACTCTAGGTTGACACAGACAAGTCTTAAGTACATGTTTTCTGTGCTTTGACCAGTGAGTGACCACTACAGCTTTGCCTTCTTTCGTTGTCCTCAAGTAACCTTGCTATTTCACTAAGAAAAGAGAAGCCATCAGAGATGCTTCAGCTCTTAGCAGTGACCTTCGTATCTGCAGCCATTATCTATTTTTTGTTCCTTTCCTCCTGTTACAGTGTGCAACTTGTTCTGGCTCCCATGGGAGGTCATCTTCTATTGGTTTTTTCTTTGTATTGTAAGATCTCACGGGGGGTAGGGGTGGGTGGTGAGCACAAGGACACATGCTGAATTCTCTCATCAGGTGCTAACCATGCCATTTTCTCTCTCCTTTTCTTCTTTCCTCCTTTTTTTTTTTTGGAAAGAATTTTCCTTAATTTTTTTTTTTTTTAACTTGAAAGGCAGACAGAGTTAGGGGTAGACAAAGAGGGAGGGAGGGATGGAGGAAAGAGAGAAATCTCCCATCTACTGGTTCACTTCCCAAATGTCAGTCAGAGCCAGGCTCAAGCCAGGGACTCAGACGTCAATGGAAGGGACTCAAGTATTTGGGCTGTCACCTGCTGCTCCGCTAGGTGGGCATTAGCAAGGAGCTGGGATTGGAATCAGAGTTAGGTCTTGCACCCAGGCACTCCAATTAAGAGATGCAGGTGCGTTAAGAGGGGCTTAATCTCACTGCACCAGATGGCCCAATCCTTGTATTGAAATCACTTCCCTGCTTCTTTTCCTTTACCCAAAGCAACTCCTGCTCCAGGTCTTTGCTTAGATTCTGTTTGTTCGGAAATGCATTCCCAACCTTCCATCTGCATCTCATAATAGGACCAACTGATCTTGTTTATTTTTCACAAAACTCACATGACTTTTAATTGCTTATTTTGTGCATGGGTTGCTTCCAAGACAAATATTTTTTCTTTTTTTAAAAAGATTTATTTATTTTTATTGCAAAGTCAGATATACAGAGAGGAGGAGAGACAGAGAGGAAGATCTTCCATCTGCTGATGATTTACTCCCCAAGTGACCTCCATGGCCAGAGGAGAGCCGATTCGAAGCCTGGAACCTGGAACCTGGAGCCTCTTCTGGGTCTCCCATGTGGGTGCAGGGTCCCAAGGCTTTGGACCGTCCTCGACTGCTTTCCCAGGCCACAAGCCAGGAGCTGGATGAGTAGTGGAGCTGCTGGGATTAGAACCAGTGTCCATATGGGATCCTGGTTTGTTCAAAGCGAGGATTTCAGTTGCTAGATCACGGTGCCGGGCCCAGCAAATATTTTTTCTGCCTCACAGTGTTTTCTCAAGTATTATACACTTTCAGAACTTATCATAGCACCTGATACGCTCAATTCAGTATTGATACATAAATGAAATTATTAATTCAAATCCATTCATATCTGCAAATTCAGTCTTTTTGACATGTCTTCACAGACATTTTTTTTTAGGTAAGATTTTGTTTATTTATATTAGAAAGTCATATATAGAGAGAGGAGAGGAGAGAGAGGAAGATCTTCTGTCCAATGATTCATTCCCCAAGTGGCAGTAACTACCGGAGCTGAGCCAATCTGAAGCCAGGGGCCAGGAGCTTCCTCTGAGTCTCCTATGCAGGTGCAGGTTCCCCTAACTTTGGGCCATCCTCAACTGCTTTCCCAGGCTACAAGCAGGGAGCTGCTTGGGAAATAGGGCCACCAGGACATGAACCAGTGCCCATATGGGATCCTGGCGCATGCAAGGCGAGGACTCTAGCCACTAGGCTACCACATTGGGCTCCCTACCTTTGTTTTAGTAGTCTCAGTAGTCTTGGCTGTCTTAGCCTGGCTCTTTTCAGTGTGTTTTTCCATCAGATGTACCTGCTACCCTTACTAGTTAAGAGTCCATACATAAGATATTTTGAGTGCACAGAAAGTTCATATCATGAAAAAATTGTGCATGGATTGATTTTTTTTAATCTGCTAAAATTGACTTAGCAATTATTTCTCTTTTTTTCCTCCACAATATTTAAAATATTACGTTTAAAACATTATGTTAAAACACGTTTTTGAGAGGCAGAGACAAACAGCTCTTATTTACTGTGACTGGAACGGAGAACTGATCCAATTAAGGTTTCCCATGTGGAATGCAATCATAAGGACCATTACTAGTGTCTCCCAGGGTCTGCATTGGCGGAAAACCTCAACCAGCAACAGAGCTGAGTAAGGATCCTGCAGTGCAGGTGGGATGGGAGCATCTGTACTGTCAAGCCAAGTACTTGTCCTGCTATGCACCTTTTGAAGAACCGTTCAAGTGTTCTGACTGTAGTCAAGTTCAGCTAAGTCGTTCTAGGCATCTTGAACGGCACAAACTAGAACTCCTCCAGCCCTTCAGTCCACTGTGTAAATATGTAATTCCTCACAGATTTTTTTCTAATACCTATCACCATCTTTTTAACGATTACGTTGAATAAGAAGAGCACTTGTAATTTTTAAAACTTTTGACCGTCTTTATAGTTTAAATAAACAAACCTTTTTGTACATAGAAGATACTTGACAGGAACTATTTCCTGGCCTAGATTTCATGTCAGGTGGGCAGATACGTCGAGATTGTGTGTTTAAACCTCCTCAGGTCATTCTTCAGGACAAAGCCTTGCTGTGCTGTGGGTTAAGCGGCCTGCAGTGCTGATGCCCTACATGGGAGCTTGTTTGGGTTCCTGGCTGCTCGGCTTCTACTCCTCCTCCCTGCCGAGGTGCCTGGGAAGGCAGCAGAGGAAGGCCTACCTGCGTGGGCCCATGTGGCAGACCCAGATAAAGCTCCTGACTCTTGGCTTCAGTTTGGCACAGCCCACATTGTGGCAGTCATTGATTTGGAAAAGGAATCAGCAGGAGGAAGCCCTTTCTCAATCTTTCTCTTTCTCTATAACTCAGCCTTCCAAATAGATCGGTAAATCTTTAAAAAAAAAAAAATAAGTAATCAGAAGAAACAAACACCAAGGTACTGTGGCATTTTCATGACTCTATCATTTTTAGCTTTTTACTCAGAAGGGGTATCTTATGGCTGGAGACAAGCAGTGGGGAAGATCTGAAACTCGGCATGCATTCTTTCAGTTTTGAGGCGGATGATCATCTGTTCGGTTATATAACTAGACCTTATAAATAGCACAGTTTTTCTGAGCAACTCTAAATTCATTCAGAATTCATTGAATTCTGACAAGGTGCACCATAGGCAACAGGAGCCCAACATCATATTAATCGTACACACATGTAACAATCATACATACATGTGCAATTTATATCCACAAACATTAAATTTGAGGTGGTAGAAGAATGAATAAGATCAAATAAATAAGGGCTGTCCATGTAGCGGTATAAATATTGGTCTTTGCAAACCGTTCTTCCCGCAGCGTTCATAAAGCCTGGCTGACACAACACAGCTTCGTCTCAGCAGGCCAAAATTCAATACCAAGACAAGTACCAGCAGGGGCTTCACAGAACGGCCTCATCCTGGGAGTCTTAATCAGACAAAGCCAGAGTAGCCACCTAGGCTAACTCAAGAGTTCAGTGATGCCTGTTGATGTGTGACAAAGCACGTCTCTCAAAGTTCCCTTTCGCTTTAGCTGATTCTGCTTTTTCTATTCCTTCTTCTTCACCCTGGAGCTGACCTGTCTTGGGGGGAGGGTGTGTCTAGAATTTTCATGCTAAGAAAGTGCACAGTGTCACAGCAGTCTTTGCCCGCGAGGAGCTAACCTGAACAACTGCGGTGCATTCCATTGAGTGTAATTGCCTGGTGGGCGGTATGGCATGTGTTCTAGGTACAATAGAGGCGGGCCTGGACCCGAACCATGAATGAACTGATCAATAAGTATTTGTGGAGTGACTTCTAAGGTGGCCTTTCTGTGTAGACATTTTATATATGCGTTCTTCACTGCTATTTTCACCCTAATTCTCATTCGTTTCTGGTCAGTCCTCCTTTTATCTGGGGAACAGGAAGATGAATCCTATGAACAGCGGGCTGCTAACAGCTCTTACATCATGGTTAAGAGGTTGTTTGAGATCTTGAAGAAGTGTTTGAGGACTGCACTCCCTCCGGGTCCAAGGGGCCCGGCAGTCACTGGTGGACGGCACCTGTTCCTGGGCACCTCCTACTGACCTCACCCGGGCCAGTCCTCCTCCCCGCCCTCAGGCCATTTGCCGTCACTCGGCCTCCTCCCCGCCCTGCTTTCCCTTCCGTCAACGTCTCCATTTCCGACTACGCCTCCGCGCTTTTGGGCCCTCCGCGGCTTCCGTCCCAGATGATCCCTCCCCCGAAGCTGCCACCGCCTCCTCAGTCTCCCGGCGCTCGGGCCGCCTCCTCGGCCAGTGGCGTAGCCGACTCGGTGTCTCTGCCTGGCAGCTAGGGGCGGAGGTCCCGAGCCCAGCCTGGACCCGAGCGGAGGGCCATGGAGAAAGCGGCCCGCGGCATTCTCCTCACTGACTAGAGCGGGCCCTTTGCGGCTGCCGACGCCATGGACCGAGCCCCCAGCGACCAGGTACGCGGGCTCGGGCCGGGGCCGGCCGGGCCAGGGGTGCGAGGTCGCGACTGCCTCCCGGGCCGGGCCGGGTCGGGTCGGGTGGTTCTCCGACCCCCGTGGTGCGGGGGCCCGGCAGCTCCCCGCTCTCTGCATTGTTCCAGTTTTTGCCTCAGGTTGGGGGTGGAGGGTGCTTTGGGTGCCCGGCGTCCGTCCCCTGGCGCCCGGGGCCTCGCTTTCCCGGCTGGGCTCTTCGGTGAGGAGGGGTTCGAACTCCCAGCGGGGCTACCCCGCTCAGTTCTGGAATGTGTTGTTCAGGCGGGGAGGCTGCTGAAGGCTTGCCCCTTGCCCAGAAGAGCGTCCCACACTGCTTGATGACAGCGACGTGGGACGCACGGCCTTTGCGCTTGCAGGGGCTTGACGGAGGCTGTGCCTTCTGACAAACCCTACTTCGATTTCTCCTGGCTCCTCTGTCCTTTTTTTTTTGTTCGAAGAAAGTGTAGTTAGTCCCCCTCCCCCCCCCAACCCCCTTCTTAAACTCGAACTGAGATTTCCAAGGTTTCTTTGAGTTCATTTCCGAGTCGTCCATTTGGTCCCCCCCGTGTTGTGTTTTGTTTTCAGTTGCGTCAGATGCTTGGTGGTCCATGCTGGGAGGAGCTGGGTGGCAGGGATAACGCAGTGGGTATCCCCCTAGTGTTTTCCGCTCTGACGGTATCTACGAAACAGCTGTATTCGGTGAAGTCTAAGTTTATTCCCTCCTCCGTTGCAGTCTCCGAAGGCTTTGTCCAGTTTTGAGCTAGACAGACGCACGAAGAGGGGAGGCGAGTGGTCCGCCCGTCACTTCTACCACCTGAACAGATGAGACAGGGTTTCCCTAGTTCTTGCAGATGGCTGAGTGTCGTTGGAACCAGTTTTGAACTCGACATCAGACTCTATAAACAGTCCAAGCATACTTTCCTAAGAGGAGTGTTTTCTCCTTTGAGGTTTAACAGAAAAGCTTTATGTGGCAGTAGGTCCACAACAATGATTTTTGTTAAACAGTACATGGAATTACCAAAGCAAAGTTTGGGTGGGGGTGGGGGAGCCTCTTGCCACATTCACACAGATTTACCCCCCCCCCCCCGTAAAGCAGGAAGATTCTGTATAATCTATAACTAGTTTAAAAATACTTTCTCAAGATATGCATCAAAAAATACCCATGACTTTTAAAGTTCAGCAAGTGGTAGATTTCTTGGAGCACTTTTCCTTGTTATGTGTGTCACTAATGAAAGGGTTCATGGTCTCGGTCCTCCACCAGCGAGCTATAGCTGTAACCAGTAACGCTGCTACATATATACTTAGGGTTCCTTTCATCCTAGGGGAAATGTAATTAACTCATGAGATTGTGACTTGCAGCATAGCTGTTTGTGTGTGATTATCTTAACAGCAAGTGCTAGGAGCAGTTTATTTAAAATAGGCAACCTCTTCCTCTTTTCATCCTGCATCTTCCCAAAGTCCACTTCCTACTAAAATCTTGTAAAAATTTAAGAAATAGGAAAAAAAAAAAAGTCATGAGAGAAAGATTTTCTTTTGAAGAATTTTTTCAATACCTGCTGTTAATTCCTACCCCAAGCTGACAGGATAATTTGCAACTCTCCCACTCCTGAATACTTCCCCAGCCCTTGAAACATTCAGAAAAATAATGTATCTTTGCCTGGTTAGTTTAGGGATCTGTGAGTGAAGTGGGAGGCCTGTGCTTCATTTTCTGTGTGTGTTTTTCTGGGAAATGATTCCATTAGTTTCATCATGTTCTCAAGCAGGGCCGGGGCTGTTTCATTGAGGAAAATGTAAAGACCATTCACCTAATGGGTAGGGGCTGAGACTTATCAGCTTTCGGAAATCTCCGTTCTTTTCATTATGTTGTAAAACAATAGAATGGCTTTTAAAGATTATTTGGAATAGATCTTATACTTTACTGAAGTCAGTTTCAGTAGGGTAAAATCTATGAAAGTATATGTGATACTTTTCCATTTTGCTCACAGTTTTTTTTTCTTCCAATGTTGACTTGCATCCAGAGTTTCTAAATGCTTACAAGCGTTAAGATGCCTATAATGATAACCAGTTCGTAGAAGTTTGGTTTTTAAGAAAAGATTGTATTTAACTTTTTTTTGCATTTTTTAGTACCTTCATTACTATATTACTGTATATTCAAGTACCTCACTTACTGTATATTAATTCAAGTACCCCTAGAGATACTGCACAAGTGTAACTTTTTAGAAATTCTCAACTTTCTTTGCCAGAAAGTTTATGTTGTTGTGACTTCCTTTTAACTTTTATGTAAATTCTTCTTATAAAAAATAAGTTATGTATATTTTGATCAGATTATAACGAGTCCCTTGGAATACAAATGCTAGGCGGTTTGTCTTATTTGCAGTGAATGACTGTTTGAAGGACTGGTATAACCAGCGAGTGCCTTTAGTAAGACTGCATTAAATCAAAAGAAGCAGCTTAATTTTAACTGCTAGAGTTCCATGTTCTAAGAACAGATATTACATGGCAAGAATGAATTTTTTTCCTCTTAAAAAAGCTAGTGCAGGGAGGCGTGAAGGATACATCATGAGCTTCATTTTATTTAAAAGGCTTAGTGTTTTCAGTTTTAGAAAATTTAGAAAAATGTTTCGTGGTTTTTCCGTTTTCAAAAACAGTGGGCTTATCAGTGACCAAACACTTTAAGTTCCCAAACTCTTAAGTTATCACAGTGAATTTAAATATCAGCTTAATCTTTGGTGTATTAATATTAGATATATTCTTCTAAAATAATTTATGATTATTCACTATTAACGTGTTTAATTCTTAGGAAAGTAAACATGGAATGCATGGTTGCATGCAGTGCTGTTCAGCAATAGGGATATAAAGCAATCTGTTTTATAACTTTTAAGTAATTTATAAATTTCAAGTAATATTAGCATAACGAACTAAGTATACAGTTGACCCTCTGAATCCTGGTTAGTTGGTAGGTTGAAAAAATTTAGTGAAAATAAACACATCTGTAATAAACATATGTGCTTTTTGGGAGGAGGTTTCATTATTCCCTAAACAATATAGTTTGATAACTATTTACGTAATATTTACCTTGTGTCAGGTATTGTAAGAAATCTAAATATATTGATAGAGGAAAATGTATGTATGTTATAAGACAACATATAAGAAATTTGATCATTGAGGCTTTTGGTATCTATGGGGAGGCTTGAAAATGGCCCCAAATACCAAGGGATGAATGTTTTCTGAATGAGTTTCTGTAAATAGTTATTATCTAGCAATACTTGTATTTTTATATGTGAATAAAAGTAAATAATACATCTTATCAGTTAATGCTCTTGTAACCAGAAATAAATACATGCTCATTTAGAGAAAATGGCATTTGAAAATTGATGAAGACATTTTCAAGTCACTGTGTCAAGAAGGAAATAAAAAGTACAGTGTAGATAATTGAAAAAAATGATAGCAGTAAGATGTTATATATGAAAACCTTTGAAATATGGTTGAAGCGATACTCTGAGGCAAATGCATAGCAAATGCTTTCATTGTTCAACAGTTTCAAAATGAAGTAAAAATTAAGTACCCAAGGCAAGAAGTTAGCAGGGTGGGGAGGCCATCAAAGCAAGAGAGACAATAATATTTCTAAAAACTAAGTAATAGGTTAGATAATCTAAGAATTGGAAAGGTTATTTTTAGCAAAATTCCCTCAGAGTTGGACAGGATTAGATTTAATCTGTATTGGTAAAAGAGGAAATGTGTGGATAGAAAACAGCTGGGACAAGTCTAAATTAAATGTTTTTTTTTCAGTGTTTTCTGAACTCTTACAAAACTTACATAACTACAGCAGTTTGTTTTGGCAAGTGGTTTACTTTCAGTATAAGCCAATGAAGGCAGAAAGCAGTATAACCAGCAGGTTTCTTTTAGTTGTTTGTTGTCTCTTTTTTTCTTTAGAAAAGGAGATGTGGTGTAAAATATCCTAATATTTGCTGTATTTTTACTTTACTGTGGACGAAGAGGTGGGGTTTGCATGGGCCTCTTTTCCTTGTGGGTGGTTGGGACTTACTAAGTTTCACTGCGAGAGTCTTGTTAAGCTCTACTTTAGTTTTGACTTTGTGAGTATTCTGTCTTTCTGTTTGTAAATGCTGTTCGGTAGCAGTTTTGTTTGTATATATGAATATGTAGTCTTTATTTTGAGATAATTTTCTGCTGTAAAATTTCTGATCACTAAAATGTTGACTGTGGCAATATAGAGCAAGCACAGACATATAAGCTGAGAAAAACAGATGAGGGTAACTATTCAGAGTTTTCATAGCATGTGCCTATGCAACACATTTTTCTTTTCTTTTTTTTCTTGAAGATTTATTTATTTTTATTGCAATGTCAGATATACAGAGAGGAGGAGAGACAGAGAGCAAGATCTTAAGTCCAATGATTCCCTTCCCAAGTGACTGCCGTAACTGGAGATGAGCCGATCCGAAGCCAGGAGCTAGGAGCCTCTTCTGGGTCTCCCACGTGGGTGCAGGGTCCAAAGGTTTTGAGCCATCCTCCACTGCTTTCCTAGGCCACCAGCAGGGAGCTGGATGGGAAGTGGAGCAGTTGGGACACACAAACCGGTACCTGTGTGGAATCCTGGCGCATGCAAGGCAAGGATTTAGCCACTAGGCTATCACACAAGGCCAAGACATTTTTCTCTGATGTCTACATTAACACATGAATATTTCCAAAAGTTTGTGAAGTGAAAGCGGAGCCAAAAGATGCGCTTATTTTTGTGCAAATTTTGTGTGTGCAGAATTTTTGACATCCACCAATATAAGAGGTCTTCAAAATATTCACAGAAATGCATATTATGAAAAATACACTTAATTTTTCTGCACCAAAATATATTATTTAGTTTTATTTTCCCCACATTTTGTAAGTTACCTTATATAATTCATATATTACAAGTTTATGTTGTTTGCTTATTTTGTTACCTTTTATTGTGTGAAATTTTCAGAGTAGCTGTGTTTTTTACATTGCTTCTCAGGCCTGAGAACACATGCTGTATTTCGATATGTGCTGCCAAGGGCCTTAAAATCACAATACATGACTTTGGAGCATGCAGAGTTGCAGCGATAGGAAAAAGTTTGCCAGTCTGTTCCTGCTGGTGACATCTTCTGTTTGTGCAGCTGTTGACTGTAGCAGCTTTGCTCTCTCTTTCTCTTTTTTTTTCTTTCTGAAAACAAAGGAGCATTTCACTGTTTCTGAGTTTTATTGTTGAACTTTGATATCTAGAATTGCATTCAGAGTAAAAGCCAGTGCAGATTTTAATATTTAACGAAATATGCTATGCATATTTGCACATATTCATTTTAAATTATGCATGATATCTTTTGAATGGTAGGCTGCCTGGGTTTATAAAGCAGATATGAAATTAAGAGTAAGTTTATTGAAACATTTGACCTGAGCCAGGCTTTGAAACGGATTCATTAATTGTAGTAGTGATTAATATGGTTTCTTTTTGCATTTTAGATTGAGAATTTGATGTAGTTGTATTTATGAATATAAACAAAACTACCTACTGGTGCAGATTTATAAAATTTTAAAGAGTTTTTTTTAAAAAGATTTATTTATTTTTCACTTAATAGGTAGATTTGCACAGACAACAAAAGACAGAGAGGAAGATCTTCCACCTGCTAGTTTACTCCCCAAATGGCCGCAATGGCCAGAGCTGAGCCAGTCTGAAGCCAGGAGCCAAGAGCTTCTTCCAGGTCTCCACGTACTCATGTGGATCCGAAGGCTTTGGGCCATCCTGCACTGCTTTTCCAGGCCACAAGCAGGAAGCTGGATGGGAAGTGGAGTGGTTGGCACTAGAACTCACACCCATATGAGATGCTGGTGCTTCCAGGAAGGGGATTAGCTAATTGAGCTATTGTACTGGCCTTGAAGAGTTCTTTTTTTTTAAAAAAAAGATTGTTTTATTATTAATTTGAAAGGCTGAGTTAGAGTGAGAGAGAGAAAACGAGTGCTTCAGTTTGTTGGTTCCTTTCTCAGAATAGCCTCAGTAGCTGGGGTTGAGCTAGGCTGAAGCCAGGAGCTGGAAAATCCATCCAGGTCTCTCGTGTGGGAGCAAGACTCCTAGGCTAGGGGCTTTTTCTGCTTTCCCTAGGCACATTGGCAGAAAGTTGGATGGGAAGTGGAGCAGCTGGGATTTAAACTGGCACCTATTCGGGGTGCTTGTATTGTAGGCAGCAGCCTTATTTGCTGCACAATAGTGCTGGATCCATTCAGAGAATTCTTTTATATTCAAAAGGAATCCTCACTTTCAAAATAAAAAAATTTTTTTAAGATTTTCATTTTATTTTTTTTTAAAGATTTGTTTTTTAATTATTTTTTTTTTTATTGGAAAGGCGGATATACAGAGAGGAGAGACAGAGAGGAAGATCTTCTGTCCTATGATTCACTCCCCAAGTGAGCGCAACAGCTCCGGATCTCCCACGTGGGTGCAGGGTCCCAAAGCTTTGGGCCATCCTCGACTGTTTTCCCAGGCCACAGGCAGGGAGCTGGAAGGGAAGCGGGGCTGCCGGGATAGAACCAGCGCCCATATGGGATCCCGGGCGTGCAAGGTGAGGACCTTAACCACTGCGCCACCGCGCCGGGCCCAAGATTTTCATTTTATTTAAAGGACAAAGTTATGGAGAGATTGGGGGCAAAAGAGAAACCTTCCCTTTACTGGTTTACTCCCTAAATGATTATAACATCTGGGGTTGGACCAATCCAAAACCAGGAGCCAGGAGCTAATCTGGAAGCAGGGATCCAGGGATTTGGGCCATCTTGCACTGCTTTCACAAGAGCAGTACCAGGAAGCTAAGTTGGTGTTCAAAGGAGATGTCATTGTTACAGGTGGCAGCTTAATTTGCTATACTACAACACAATCTTAACGCTTACATTTAAAATGTGAATCAGCTTTTTCCCCCTTTTATACATATATGTGAACTGTGTAAAGCAAGTTACCATTTTTTTGTGTATTATCATGAGAGATTGCTTTATCCTAATTGGGGAAGTATTATATTGATTTGATCTGTTATACTTTATCTAAGTTTGAGGTTCTAATGAATCCATAAAGTGAAAATTACTAAATTATTAACATTTGAAGGAGTTTTGCTGCTTATGTTAAAATTAAAAAATCTGGGCTTGACACAGTGGCCTAATGGCTAAAGTCCTTGCCTTGAATGCACCGGGTTCCCATATGGGTACCAGTTTTAGTCCCAGCAGCTCCCTGCTTGTGGCCTGGGAAGGCAGTCGAGGACAGCCCAAAGCCTTGGGATCCTGCAGCCATGTGGGAGACCCAGAAGAGGCTCCTGACTCCTGGCTTCGGATGGGTGTGTAGCAGCACTGGCTGTTGTGGCCATTTGGGGAGTGAATCATCGGACAAAAGATATTTCTGTCTCTCCTCTTCTCTATATATCTGACTTTGCAATAAAAACAAATAAGTCTTCAAGAAAAAAATTCAAGAATCAACTGAGTTAATAATAAATGTTTATAAATGTTATCATTCTCCAGTATTTAGATTTGATTCATGCAGATATAAACTTCAAACTTAAATGAGCTAGGAAAGTTACTGAATGAATATTGTTAGAGTGTTTAGATTTTGTGTTTTCCATCCTCTTTCCCTTCTTTTTTAAGCAAGCATTTGTGAATATTTACAATGAACTATTTTTTGAAAAAAAGTTTTCCAAATAAAGACCATGTAATTGAATATATCAATTCTTTTTTTTTTTAAAAGATTTATTTTTATTATTTTGTTATTGGAAAGGCGGATGTACAGAGAGGAGAGACAGAGAGGAAGATCTTCCATCCGATGATTCACTCCCCAAGTGAGCGCAACGGGCCGATACTACGCCGATCAGAAGCCAGGAGCCTCTTCCGGGTCTCCCACGCGGGTGCAGGTTCCCAAAGCTTTGGGCTGTCCTCGACTGCTTTCCCAGACCACAGGCAGGGAGCTGGAAGGGAAGCGGGGCTGCCGGGATTAGAACCGGCGCCCATATGGGATCCCGGGCATGCAATGCGAGGACCTTTAACCACTTGCACCACCGCGCCGGGCCCGAATATATCAATTCTTGTCTTTAGATTTTCATAGATTTGCGGTTGATTACACTGTAAAACATGACTGAAATTTATTCTGGAAACCATGACAACTTCTTATTAGTGTCACCTTGGACAATTTGTTTTGATGCTAAGTTCTAATTAGGATCATTGGTGTCTATAGTAATTGTTTTGAGTCATTAGAAACTTGACTTTTATCATATTGGTTTCATTAAGGAGTTTAATTTTATTTAGATTGTATCATTTATGTATTTTTGAAAAATATTTTTATTTTGAAAGTGAGAGAGAGAGAAGTGGATGGATCCGTCAAGATCTCCCAGCCACAGACGAACTCTGCAGATGTCTACAAAGACCTGCTACAGGCTGGACAAGGTCTTCCTGAGCAGGGTCCTGGAGCAGGGTGTTAAAGCCAGGCACTGCAGTGTGAGTCTGCACATGTCTTAACCACAAAGCTAAATAGTTGCCCTTAGGCCTGGTGCAGTAGCCTAGCAGCTAAAGTCCTCGCCTTGAACGTGCCGGGATCCCATATGGGTGCTGGCAGCCCAAGTCCTTGGGACCCTGCACCCACTTGGGAGACCTGGAAGAGGCTCCTGGCTTTGAATCTAATGTTGTTATAGATACTTTGTAAACTAAAATTTGCCATTTAATGCACTGAAAAACATGTAAATCCAGTATTGAGTTTAATGATTCATTGGAAAATGAACGCCTCCTGAGTTACACACACACACACACAAACATACATATACACTTCACCGTAAGACACAGCTCTGTCAGGCATCTAGAAGCTCTCCCTAGGACTGATTCTTTTGACTTTCATGGAATTTACTTACTTTTCTTTAAGGCTTTTTGCTCAGTATATCCCTAAATAGTGTAGTTTCTTTGTCTTCTAAACCTCTGTGAATTTGGTATAAGGAAAAATGCAGAACGTAAACCAGAAGGGAGTACATGTTACAGACGACTTCAGTTGCTGATTTGTCTGCTTGGAAAACTCAAGTATTCATCCTCTCTTCCCATCGCCATTGAATTTTGAGCCAGAGACTTTTCCCTGTCTGGTTTTTTGTTTTGCTTTGTTCATCTTAGACATTTTCCTTCCTTTTAATTTAATGATACTAATCTAATTTCCTGAAATGGTCAAAAATAGGGTTTTTCTAGACTATTCAAACAAATATAATTATCCTTCAAAACTCTGTTTAGTGGTTTTTTTCCCTCTAAGAAAATTAGTTAAAAACGCACTGTTTTGTCTGAAGAGCCAGTTTTTATTACCAGCTTTATTTTTAGACCCTGAGGTATGACTTCCTTGTACTCTTGATTGTTTTAACAGCTTTGATTACGTAAGCCATGATTTCATTGAGATTTGGTAATCTTTGATAATTTTCCTCTTTGAAGACTGTCTAGATAATTTGATCATTAAAGTTGATGTTGTTATTCCTTTGGATATTTTGTGAACACTAAGAAGAGATCTGATTACTGTTTGGAAAGGCTGTTAATTTGTCAACTTATATTAAGTTATTTGCTCATGTGTTTGTAATCATTCCACCTTTTCTTTGAAGAATGTCAAGCTGTCAGCGGAGGTGGAGCCGTTTATCCCCCAGAAGAAGAATCCCGATACGTTTATGATCCCTATGGCTCTACCAAATGAAAATGGGAGTGTTTCTGGTGTAGAACCAACTCCAATTCCCAGCTACCTGATCACCTGTTACCCGTTTGTGCAGGAAAATCAATCTAATAGGTAATTATTTATTACTGTTTTCTGCATATTGGAGTGGTAGAGAATATCAAAGAGCATACTTCCAAAATTTTTTCTGTACCTGTAAAATAAAATTTATGATTTAATTTTACTTTCTAAAAGGAGTAAATAAAACCAAGTGATAGGAGAATGGGAACATTTTTATCAAAGGTTGTCTTACTCTTTCTAAGAAGAAATGGAATGTTTTGGATATATCTCCTGTGTTGCCATTGAACTGCATTGAGTTAAACTGACCGAGGGGAGGAATGAAGTATGTAGAAAGAAGTGAACAGGAACACTTTTGACAATAGGTATTTAATCTTAAAATTGCCAACGTAGTCTGGCATGAGAAGAAAATACCAAGCTACAGTACAAGCCTTTGATGTTTTTGGGGTTAGTTAGCACACATTTCTAGACTCCAGTTTTGATTTGGTGTGTAGACTATATTCACAAATTGAATTTGCACAGTGCTTACAGTTCATTTAACGTGTGGCCTGGGGCTGAAGGGTAGGTGCTGTGATACGCAGGATAGCCTTTCTAACCCTGCTTTAGCTTACCTGAGTGATTGGCAGCTCAGTGGTGTAGTTCCTTCTTTGAAGTATTGAAGTACTTTCAATCTTTTTCAAGTTATGTCAGATATAGAATAGTATGAAATAAATGGATGAGGCAGCTGTTGACTTCAGGTTCTGCCCAGCAGACTGTGAGGGCTGAGATGGTCAATATTGATACACAATTATAATGTATTTGTGTCACTGTAGTTTTTTTTAGAAATTCTGCGTACATGATATCTGAGACCATTGAGCTACCTTCTGATGTGTAAAGTATGCAAGTTATTATTATGAGTTTCTTAAAACATAGTCTAGCAGGTTGGACAAACAGTAGCATCTAAAGGATCCTTTTTAGTTATAGTTGAAGTTCATGTTAAAGCTCTTTGACCTGTTAGATAATGTGCAAGATGATTTACAAACTCAATTTAAATGGTACTTTTTTTTTCTCTTTGAAAAAAATGACTGGTGTAAAGTATGCTAATTTCTTGTCTTAACAAATAACCTGATAATTCATGAGCAGGACAGCAGATTATTCTAAAATATTTTTAGGATTTAAAAAAATCTTGTCATGTGACTATTGAAGAAAAACTCTATGTTTCAGCACCTTCCATTTCAAACTTCTCATTTGTCAGCAGCAGTGTGGAGTAGGGATGCTGGGACAGGAAGAATCTTGCTGGTGCTTTATAGGAGTCCTGTTAGAAGCAGTTGTAATGTCGGAGATGTTGGTAGATGAACTTGCTTTTGTTGCTAAGGAGGGGAGCCAGGAAAGCAGGTGCACTTTGCCAGGTGGTTAAGAAGGATGGAAAAGAGGAGGTCCTGGAATAAACAGAGTGAGAGTCAGAGGAATTCAGTCACCCTGCTTAACGAGTATCTTATACAGTGCTCTGCTGTCACAGTTAGTGCCAGCTGAAAACATTGTGCTGCCCTTGTTTGCTTATTCAGCAGCAATGTGTTAAACTTACAAGCAGAAATATCTTGAGGTTGAGGGCAGAGTTGCATACACATAGTAATGATTTGTGAATTGCAATAAAACTCATCAGTTTGCATTCCTTTATACTGCCATTTAAATAGTTATTTCACGTACCTAATCTGTAATTAAGCCAAGGAAAATTAAGAGATGGTATGTTTGTCTCTTTTTCCAGAATTTTTATGAGGGCACTGTTACTCAGTTTTTTATTAAACAGTTAAGATTTTGCTTTAGTTTGTTTTTAGACTTGTCAGTGGATTTGTTCTTGTTTGTATTTGGTTTTACAGACAATTCCCTTTATATAACAATGATATACGATGGCAGCAGCCCAATCCAAACCCCACTGGACCATACCTTGCCTACCCCATTCTGTCTGCTCAGCCACCTGTTTCTACAGAGTATACATATTATCAGCTGATGCCAGCGCCATGTGCCCAAGTTATGGGTTTCTATCATCCTTTTCCTACACCTTACTCCAACACCTTTCAAGCTACAAATACTGTCAATGCTATAACCACAGAATGCACTGAGCGTCCAAGTCAGCTTGGACAAGTCTTCCCATTGTCCAGCCACCGAGGCAGAAGCAGTAATCGAGGACCAGTGGTACCAAAAGTAAGTGACAGTTTTTGATTGGCCTTTACAGCTAATATTTCTGTTAATATAATTAGTCTGCTTCTTGTATTGATTGGTCTTTAATGCTGATTTTACTACAGAGCATTCACTAGCATAAATTATCAAGGGTATGTTACTTGAAAGTATTTTTTTCCTGTGGAAAAATTGGTTGGTAATATGACTTGCGACCACCTTTGTGATCTTTGCAATAATTTTATATAAACGGGATGTATAAGTATTTCTGAGTTACTTTAGTTTAAAACTAGTCATGAAAATTACATGGTGATGTCAACATTAATAAATGGTTAGCATGCTTCCTGTGCTAACAGGGTTGAACAGCTAGCATATTAAAAGATATTTTAGTTTTCTGTATTAGCGGGGGAAATTATTCTGGAAAAGGACATTTGTGATTCATTTAAATCACTTCAATTTCATTGCTTTAATTCTATGAATGTTTAGAAATTCATAGGGATTGTACTTTGTTGTTTAAGAGATAATTTACTGTTTTGTGAACAGTCTCCTAAAGTTGGAAAAAAATGAAAGATAAACATTTGAAATTAGTTTTATTTAGGCACAGCTGTTTGACTAAATTTTTCTTTAAAAAAAAAATGTCTCAAGAGGTCCTGGTGCAGTAGCTTAGTGGCTAAAGATGTCACCTTGCACATACCGGGATGCCATATGGGTGCTGTTTCAAATTCTGGCAGCCCTACTTCCCATCTAGCTCCCTGCCTGTGGCCTGGCAGTCAAGGGCGACAGCAAACCGTGGGACACTGTACCCACATGGGAGACCTGGGAAAAGCTCCTGGCTCCTGGCTCTTGTCTTCGTATTGGCACAGGTCCGGCCATTGCGCTCACTTGGGGAGTGAATCATCAGATGGAAGACATTCCTCTTCTGTCTCTCCTCCTCTTTGTATATCTGACTTTGCAATAAAAATAAATAAATCTTAAAAAAAAAAAATCTCAAGAGAGTTAAGGTTTCATTGTAGGCTTCTTTTTCATTATGATCTTAAAAAGCTAGTAAGAGGAAAAGCCATGCTTCTGGTGAGCACATTTAAGGTCCTGAAAGACGCATCTTCATGATTGTATCATCAAAAGATTGGTGCTTTTTCCAGGTTCCATTAGTCCAGCTCCTTTAGTGGGGAAAAAAAAAGATCGTTATTGCTTCTTTCATAATTTTTAAAAATTAAAAAAGTAAACAAGCAACTGAAGTTACTTAAATAAATTTATAGTCCTTGCTGGTGGCAACCCTTTGAGTCCTTTGTGAGTGAAGAGGTGAGTGAAGGAAACCACACGATAATACATAGTTAGAGAGCTTAAAGGATGTTGTTTTTCAGAATCTACTTCTAGCACTTTAAGGGAGTTTAAGTAGTTACATTTGGAATTAAATGTATTCTGTCAATTAATAAGCATCTACTTTAAAAAGTGAAGGAAGGGATTAGCTTTTATATATTTTCTTTTTGAACTGTGACAAATTTTTGTTTGCATTATTATAAAATTTAGTCTTGATGTTACCATTCTTTTTTGCCCCTTTAAATAAATATCTAGAACCCCTGGTGATGCAATTATACTCTTGTGATTTATTAAAATAAAAATCCAAGTAACAAGTTCATAGTTTATTGATCATAGTAATACTAACAGTTACTTGCCTATGGAATTTTACATAAAATAAAAAGGGAATGATGAAAAAAAATTATTAGAAAATACAGGTCAGTATATAATACATTATTAAGACTGTTTTGCAAATACTTTCATGAAACCTTGATATGGTAACTTTCTCCATAATGCTGTAGAACCTGCATTTAAATATATTTGGTGGTGAATATGTATTTTACACTTAGTGTACTGAATACTTTCTTGTTTTGTTTTGACTTAAATCAGCAGCAGCTTTTACAACAGCACATAAAAAGCAAAAGACCTCTGGTGAAAAATGTGGCTACTCAGAAAGAAACAAATGCAGTGGGTCCTGATAATCGATCAAAAATTGTGCTTTTGGTGGATGCGTCACAACAAACGGGTAAGACAAAGGTTCCTATATCACTGATTTCTGTCTTTTCTCACACATAGACTTTATATTTGTGGATTGTGCTATGTTTCAGGATTCTATACTTTCATCTTTCCTTTTGCCCTGCCTCTTGTGAAATTCTATATATAGGAAGCATAAAACAGTGCTCTTTCAGCTTGCTCACTGGTGTGTTTATGTAAAACCTGGAGCAGGATTTGAGGTTTCCATTTTTGCTATTGTAGTAGAGGAGTTATGACAGAAATTTGAGTACCCTGTTTTGGTAGAAATCAAAATTGTAAGTGTTTTTGATAACTAGATTACAACTCTTTATAAATCATTTAACATCCTTTATAGCACCTTTTTGAAATAACCTGGTTTTTCTCAGCTATATTTAAGCATATAACTGATAAGATCAGATAAGAATTAATAGCCTTTAACATTCTTTTTTTCCTAGATTTTTTTTTTTTCGTTTTAAAAAAAATTTAGAGATTCATTGATTTGCAAGGCAGAGTTAGAGAGAGAAGAGAGATCCATCTTCTATCTGCTGGTTCACTCTCCAGCTGGCTACAACAGCTGCAGCTGGGCCAGGCCAAAGCCAGGAGCGTGAAGCTCCGTCTCCATCTGAGACTCCCAGGATGTGGTGCCAGGATGCAAGCACTTGGCCGTCTGCTACTCTCCTGCTGAGTGGGCACTTTAGCAGAAAACTAAATCAGAAGTGGAGCAGCCAGAACTTAAACCAGTGCTTAAATGGGACACTGGTGTCACAGGCAGTGGTTTCACCTCCTATGCCGCAGTACCAGTCCCCAGAAACATTTGTAATTGGGAAGATCCATTGGAGAGTGCAGAGGTCTGTCCAGTGAGAGCAGTAGTCTGGTGTGCTCCATGGTGGAAAGAGCTTTTAAACAAGAAATGGTTTTTATTGTTTTGTTTTTTTTTAAGATTTGTTTTATTTTTTTTGAAAAGGCATATCAGATTTATGGAGAAAAGGAGACACAGAAAGATTGTCCATCCGCTGAGATTAATTGAGAGGTGATTGTGAGGGGTTTTGTTTCAGGAATTTCTTATCATGATTGAAGTTCATGAAATAAAAACTAACACAGCACAACTCCATAAGCAAATGGGTAGAAGTGAAAAAAAAAAATTCCAGGAATAAAAGTAACAGAGCTTCATAAAGGTGAAAATATTAGGGTTTCTACAAGCACCAGAAAAGATGCTAAACCTCATTATTAAGTTGAAAAATGCAAATTGAAACCCACAGTTTCTCTTTTTAAATACAAATCGGCAAAGATTATAGTCTAGAGAACTGTATCAAATATATGGTGAAGTGTGGATTCCTGAAGATATGTGTATGTATATATATATATATATATATACTGCTGGTAGTTTTCATTGTTTCAATCAACTTGAAAAATGATTAATTTACATTATTAAAGCTAGCAGCTGTCACCTTTGAGAAGCTTTCACACACACACACCAACATTTTTGTGTCTGTAAGAATGATTATAGTAGTATATATATATTTTTAATTTGTTTTTCATTTGAAAAGCAGAGTTAGAGGGAGAGGCAAAAATTTTCCATCTACTGGTTCATTCCCCAGATGGCCGGCCGCATTGCTGGAACTGAGCAAATCCAAATCAAATCCATTAATGAATTTCAGCCGCATTCATAAAAAAATAAGTCACAAAAGAATATTAACATTTAAAAAAAGTTAAGAACTGTAAAATTATGATTTATGTTTTAGGAATACAAAAAATCCACACTGAAACTAACAAAAAACACAGAGCTCTGAGTAGAGGTGATCTCTGCAGGACAGAGCGGGTGCGGTCACGGTCACAGGGCGCGTGGTGAACTTGAGATGATTGTGTTTTCTTTAATGGATGATCGTTTTTAAACAACATTAATGAGATTTTCATTCTGTTTTCATACTAACTTGTTAAAAGCCAGTGTGTCAGGAACATCTTACCTTTCCATGATCTCGTCATTATTTTCTTATGCCCTAATGGTGAGAATTTGTCACTCTGACCCTCACAAGGAACTGTCGTTACTCTTTGGTTCTTTGTAGATTTTCCATCAGATATTGCTAACAAGTCTCTCTCGGAGAGCACTGCCATGATGCTCTGGAAGGCCAAAGGCAGGAGGAGAAGGACGTCCCACCCCACCGCCGAGTCCTCTAGCGAACAGGGTGCTAGCGAGGCGGACATCGACAGTGACAGCGGTTACTGCAGTCCCAAACACAGCAACAACCAGCCTGCTGCCGGGGCTTTGAGAAATCCTGAATCGGGGGCGGTGACTGTGTGTACCTAGATTTCTTTCTCTTTCATAGAACTTAGTATTTATTATCTTTGCACGTTTTGATACCTAGGTGTCTATGTGCATTAGCAATTCCTGTACTAATATGTTAAAATAGTATTCTGAGATTTAATAAGCATGTTTTCAAATTAGATTGTCATGAAATATCTTGTAAAGTCTATAATGTTGAGAGGCTTAACTAGAAAATAATTCTTTTTTTGTTTGTTTTTAAGCATGTGGAGTCGTCCGTCTGTGCAGGTAATTATTTTCTACATGGTTTTTTTTTTTACATAGTTTCATTCATGTCAGTTTTCTGTTGATGCACGAAGCTTGTCATACTGCAAGAAAAAAATAGAATTCAAGTTATATCTAAGTACAGATTTGCCAAACACATTAGGAAAATACCAGTTGCAGGTATTCTGCAAAATGATACTTGTTTTACTATAAATTGATATACTTCTAAAAATTTAAAAAAATTAATAGCAAATTTATAGTGACTGAATTTCAGTACATAAAGGTAGGAAAATTTTGGTTTTGGTATCTTTTATAAGACAGTAATATTCTTGGGTCTGGTGCAGTGGCCTAGCAGCTAAAGTCCTTGCCTTGAACGCTCCAGGATCCCATATGGGCGCCGTTTCTAATCCTGGCAGCCCCACTTCCCATCCAGCTCCCTGCTTGTGGCTTGGGAAGGCAGTCAAGACGGCCCAAAGCCTTGGGACCCTGCACCCGCATGGGAGACCTGGAAAGAAATTCCTGGCTCCTGGCTTGGGATCAGCTCAGCATTGGCTGTTATGGTCACTTGGGGAGTGAATCATTCGATGGAAGATCTTTCTGTCTGTCCTCCTCTCTGTATATCTCACTTTGTAATAAAAATAAATAAATATTTTTAAAAAAGAAAGTCATGTTCTTATATCTCATTTGTTAATAGGTGGTGTAAATTGGTCCAGTGTAACTTGCCAGGCAACTCAGAAGAAACTTTGGATGGAAAAAAATCAGACGTTTTCTAGAAGTGGAAGGCAAATTGAACAAAGAAATAATTCACAGGTAATTTGGATTATTTTGGAGAAATCTGATCAGGTGTGAGAAGAGTTATTATAAATATGTTGGCAGTAAATGCGTATTTAGTTATATAAAATGAGCTAATACAGTGTCTGAAATATATTTCAAAATGGCTTAGCCAATAACATAGTTAAATGTTGAGACAAAATGGAAAGAGGTTGAATGAAAGTGATAATGAGTATGTGAGTAAGGAGTGTGGCCTTGTCAGTATTTTGACTTGGTCGTGAGCCCTGGCTGTGGGGATGGCAGTCCCTGGGAGAGGTTGGCTGACGCTTCCAAGCATCCCTTTGGGCAGTCTGTTGCAGGTCTTGAGCAAAGCCTATCCTCAGTGTGGCAGAGTCTGCCTTGACTGGCTATGAAATAGGGTGTTGTTTATTGATTAATATTTTCCTTTTCCCTTTTTTTTTAGATGTTGGATTCCTTAATCTACTTAAGGAATTAAAAGCTATCATAGGAATAGATTTGTGGATGAGTGAAAATAAGAGCTAGTAACTAATTGATCAATTTTGTCCTTGGTTTGCCCGTTTCCTTGCCTCCTGGAAATACACTTCACATTTACCTTAACATTAATTAGGTTACCAGGAAAGCACACAGTGCAATACCTTCTGCCCTGTAATTGCAAAATGGAATTATTGTTGCAGTTTTATTTGAATAAAAGCAAAAGAACTAAAATAAGAACAATGTGTGTAGTTTAAAGAAAATCTTCACCATGTTTTTGTGTGCTGAAATTTTCAGTTCTCATTGTAACAGTCTTGCCAGGTTTGCAGGCTTGATACTGTCTGTGGTATCAGTAGCCTGCTGGGGTAGGAATAGTACTGCGATGAGAAACATTTCTCAAACATTTCTCATCCCTGTCTCAAAACTGATAAGAGAGATTGCAAAAAAAAAAAAAAAAAAAAAGATAGTGTAAACACATGGTGGTGTTTTAAGTTTGGTGTTTTCTCTCTCTCTCCATTCCCAAAGTGGATACAACTGCTCACAGTGTGTTTATTTTCTTAACTACATCTGATGACTTGTTATTCGTGTACTTTTCTTCATTTGTGTGATTTTTAGGATGCAAAATCTTTATCTTTAAAGTCAAAATGTTTTTCCTTTTTGAAATTTATCATTATTTTTGAGCTTTAAAAATATTCTGGAAATCAAACAAATATTTGTAGTTTCTGCTACTTTTTAGTGGGGAAATATTTCAAAACTTTTTAGCTGAGATTTAATATGTGATGGAACATGATATAGTCTTACTTTATTTTTACGCACGATGAAAACATAATAGTGCAGATTTTCCGACTTCTTTTTTTTTTTTTTTCAAAGATTTGTTTATTGTTTGGAGGTCAGAGTTACAGAGAGAGAAGATCTTTTTTCCTAGGGTAGAGGAAGAAATCTTCCAGCTGCTTATCTACTCCCCAAATGACTGTGACAGCCAGAGCTGGGCCAGGCCAGAACCAGGAGCCAGGAGCTTCTTCTGGGTCTCCTACGAGGGTACAGGAGCCCAGAGACTTGGTCTCTCCTCCATTGCCTTCCCTGGCCATTAGAAGGGAACTGGATTGATGGAGCCACTTGGCCTTGAAACTGCGCCTGTATAGGATGCTGGTACCACTGGCTGAGGTGTAGCATACTGTGCCATGCCTCTGGCCCCAATGGTGTAGGTTTTCAAAGTTATTCTAACTTTGTAACCCATTATTTTGTGCTTTCATTTTAATTATTTGCTGATTTCTTGCAGCTAAGTTTGGTTTCTGTATTTGTTTTGCTTCTATTTTCCGCTATGTCATGCTGTTGAATTACAGTGAGTTTAGACCTTTTTCCAGTGTTTTAACATTTGATAAGGCACATCATTTTATGTGTGCTGATATGACTTTAATTTTAAATGATGAGAAGAGTATAAAAACTTTATAAAGCTTTATCTCTTGTTGAAAGGCAGAGTTTACAGAGAGAAGAGAGAGATAGCTTTCATCTGCTGGTTCCCTCCCCAAATGACCGCAACAGCTGGGGTGAGCCCAGGCTGAAGCTTGTAGCCCAGAGCTGCTTCTGAGTCTCCACATGGGTGCAGGGACCCAGGCACTTCTTGGGTCATTTTCTACTGCTTTTCAGGCACATTTATCAGGGAACTGAATCAGGAGTAAAACAACAAGGTCTTGAACTGGCACATTCATATGGGAGGCTGGCATGTAACAGGTGTTGTCTCAATGTGCTGTGCCCCAATACTGCCCCGATGTAAAAACTTTTAAAATGACTATTTTTTGAAATCAGTTGAAAAGTGAAAAAAGATGAATACAGTTCCAAACAAAAAATTCGTTTTCATCCTTTTCTCTCTTTGTCTTCTCCATCCTTTTTGCCTGTCCCACTTTGCTTGCTTTCTTGTACAGTCTCCCAGAGTTTCTTCATGTTATTATAAGTAAATATAAGTGTGTCATGCCAGGCCCATGTTTTTGTTCAGTTGTAGCACAGTAGATACCAAACCTACCTTTTTTAATACTCAGTGATATATCTTGGAGACATTAATATCATTTCCATGAAACCACAAACTTTTCTTTGTAAAGGTTTATTTTATTTTTTATTAGAAAGTTAGATATACAGAGTGGAAGATTGTCCATCCACTGATGACACACTCCCCAAGTGGCCGCGACGGCCAGAACTGCACCAATCCAAAGCCAGGAGCCCGGAACCAGGAGCCTCATCTGGGTCTCGTACGCAGGTGCAGGGTCCCAAGGCTTTGGGTCACCCTTGACTGTTTTCCCAGGCTGCAAGCAGGGAGCAGGATGGAAAGTGAGGCTGCTGGGGTATGAACCGGTGCCCATATGGGATCCTGATGCTTGCAATGAGAGGCCTGTAGCTGCTAGGCTACTGTGCCGGACCCTGGAGTCCCTTTTAGTAAAGTGACTGCTTCTGTCAGTGGTGCCTTGTACTCATGACTTATTCAGGGTTGGCATAAGCAGAGAGGTGAAAAGTGGGAAAAAGATGTGTCTACATTTATCATTCATCTTGTATCCATAGCCAGGGGAGCGGTTATACTATATCAACCTCTAGTCCCCAGAGTGGGGGAGTACAACCTGAAGGAGCAGGCCATTGGATGGACAACAGGCAGAGTATTACATAGTGGCAGGGCAATTTTTCAGTCCATATGTTGTGTGTTTTTAAGTTAAAGATGTCAGAAGACTTTTAGCAGTTGAATACAAAAGTAACATTGAGGTTTCCCCACAGGTAGCATCTTGTAGTACAACATCACATCACACGTATTAACATTCAGCAAGTTAAGATACAGAACAAATCCATCACAGTGCCCCCTCATGTGGTGCTTTCCATAGCAGTGCCTTTTTTTGTTGTTGTTCTCTACCAGCCATTCCTTAATCCCTACAATCCAGTCAGTTAGCATCCTTTCGTCTAAATATTTGTTGTTTCAAAAACTTTGTATATGTCTGTAATTTATACTCTTTGGGATTGGTTTTTCCTTTTTTTTTTTTTAAATTCATGTGGCTCTTTGGCAATGCATTCAGATTGTTGGGTTTATCTGCAGTTCATTTATTTTGCAGCTGATGGTCATGCTAGAGGATACAGTACATTTAGTTTAATTATTCACCCACTGAGCATCTGGCTTGCTTCAGTATTGAGTACTTAGGAAATGTTTATGTACAGAAAAGAAAATGTACACTAATTGTCACATTATTGTATTTTCTTCAAAATTCCCTTTTCCTATCAGTTTTGACTTTTAAAAATAAATTATCTGCTTGATAAAACTTCATTGAGTTGTAGCACTTTTATATACTTTTCTGCAAATATGCTATGCTTCATTAAAATACTTACCTAAAAATAATACAATATCTTTTCCCCTGCTGGGATTTGCTTAGGTTGGATTCAAATGTCGAGGACACAGTACTTCCTCAGAACGAAGACAAAATTTGCAAAAGAGACAAGATAATAAGCATGCAAATTCTAGTCAGCCCCACAGAAGTGACCCAAATTCTGAGTCTTTATACTTTGAGGTATCTTTTTCAAATTGTATTTGTAAACTGTTTTAGAGAATGCTGTATAAAGACATGAATTTTTCAATTTGTAAACACTGAAAATACTTGTTATGTTTTAACATGTGACCCTACAGCTCAATTGTAAATATTAAGTGCTAACTTTTCAATTATTTTGCTTATATGTATTAATCTAACAAGTTCATTAATGTTAATTTTTTATACATTTTTGTCATATTCATCACTTTGAGGTTATGTGTAGAGGTAGATCTTCATTCTTGTTGCTGCTGTTTAGTACATTTCTAAGGTTTTTCAGATTTGAACAGTTTGATTAATTTTATGCTGCCAGCAAGGGGGATCTTGGAAAGAATTAAATAGCTTTTAATTAAATACTTTCTCTGGTAGGCCACTTGTATTCCCCTTACTTACACTGTTTTTTTCTTTATTCATCTAACCAACTCTTTTTGGTGGCCTATCTTGTATGTGTAAAGTATGCTTTGAGGAACACCTACAAAGGTACACTAACTCAAGGAGGTTTACTAAGTCATAGAGGAGTATGTAGACATGTACATAATTGAATGTGGTTAGAGTTAAAAGAAATGGTGACATGGGTCTGTGTTGGGGAAATCAATAATTATTAGAATGGATTTTAAAGAATTAGGGGAATTTAGTTAATGTCAAGATGTTTCTACCAAATATTCCTGATAACTCTTTTCACTTACTCATTTTGATTGGATCATGGATTCTAAAAATGGGTTAATAAGTAGCGTTTAATATAGAAAACTCAGTTGAATCCATAGGGAAGGAACGAGCAACTTTTTGAGTTAGAAATTGACCTGAATTACTTGAGTGTATCTCAATTGTTCTATCAGTAGTAGTTTTAGTATAGCTGATTTTTTGAATATTTTTTAAAGGATTTATTTATCTGAAAGGCAGAGTGATGGCAAGAGGGAGAGAGAGAGAAAGAGAAAGATCTTATAATTGTTGTGTAACTCTCCAAATGGCTGCAGTGACCAGGGTTGGGCTAGGCCAAATCAGGAACCTGGCACTCTGTTCTAGTCTCCTATGTAGATGGCAGAGGCCCAAGTACTTAGCTGCTTTCCCTGGCACATCGTCTGGTTGCTGGATCAGAGGGTAGCAGTCTGATCTTGAAGTGGCCTCTGATATGCCATGTCAGTGTCAAAGGCTGCAGCTTAACCTACTGTGCCATACCACCAGTCCCACTGTGTCTGATGTTGGCAGCTTTATATGTATGTTGTATTGTATGATTGTTTCTGTGTTTTTATTTAGCTAAAGGTATTAGATACAATTTTCAGTTAAAAGAGAGATATATTGGCCAAGAAATTATTTTGAATAGATTTTTAAAAATTCTTTCAAATTTTAACCATATTAATACCTGTATGTAGTAATGTAGGATAGGAAAAACATTAGTGAAATTCATAAATTGCTTAAACTATTTTTTAAATTATCTGGATGTGATACAAATCTATTTTCAATTTTTTACCTACTCTCATCTGAGGATATAATTATGAAAAAATGAAATGGTAAGTGGAACACTTCAAAGGGTAGACATGTGTGGATATGTCCTTTTGAATATCTATGTTTTAGCCTGTGAAAAACGAGATGGCATTTTTAAGAATAGTAGAGTCCAGCTTCCCCATTATTCATTACCCTTAAGCATTATAAGAAATTTTTCCTAGAAGTTTGCCTTGAACTCTTAATTTTTTTTTACTTAAAATATATAACTCTTTCATTTCAGGGTGAAGATAGGTTTCAAGAACTAAGTGAGAATGGAAATACCAAGGATGAGAATATTCAACAGAAACTCTCTTCAAAAGTAGTAAGTGACTCTTTAAAAAGATAAGCAAAACAAAATATTTTTGAACTATGATTATGTTGAAAAGAAATATTAAAAGTAATTTGAAAACCGTGAGGCACTGTCTGATGCTGAAGTAGTGATTATCACTTACCTTTAGTATTTCTTTTCAACATATCCAAAACAAAGATACTTTTATATGAAATCCACAGTTCTATGCTAGACAAAAAAAGAGCACTAATCAAATGACACGTGGTCTGTAACAGAATGAATTGCCCCATTGTTATAAGATTTTGCTGTGGAGCTATTTTGTTTCCTTTTAGTCAGGGTTCTAGACAAGTATCTCCCACTGTTGTTAAAGTCTTTGGTCTCATTACTTCCCAATCTAAACTAATCCCACCATCTCACTGTGATTTTGACTTTGGCTCTTTTGAAGCCCTAGTCTTGCTAAAGTACAGAAGATCCCACATTCTGAATCGTTTCCTTGTGATGAGACTTTATGAGATCACTAACGAGCGTTTTTCTTGGGTTGTCATAGTTGGATGATTTACCAGAAAACTCACCAATCAATATAGTTCAAACTCCAATTCCCATTACCACTTCAGTTCCTAAACGTGCAAAAAGTCAAAAGAAGAAAGCTTTAGCAGCAGCCCTTGCGACAGCACAGGAATACTCAGAAATAAGTATGGAGCAAAAGAAATTGCAGGTATGTAGTCATTGTTTGAACAAATGTGATAGTTTATTTGGTAGGTTTAGGAGTTTGGATAGAGGAATGATAAATATCTTAACTTACTGCACTTTTACACTGTAACAAAAAAAGTATTTTCATGTTCCCCTTACAGGAAGCTTTATCAAAGGCAGCTGGAAAAAAGAATAAAACACCTGTGCAGCTAGATTTGGGGGACATGTTAGCTGCTTTGGAAAAACAGCAGCAAGCAATGAAAGCACGGCAGATTACTAATACCAGACCGCTCTCATATACAGGTAATACATTAGTATGAGTAGTTTGTTGTTTGGCTTTGGTAGTATATTTTGATTATTGATAATTAAAATTTTTAACTACAAACATAAAATATACAAAATGTATATGTACATATTTTAAGTCAGTTCAAACCCTAGTGCTTGAAATTGTTCAGGTTCTTCTGTTTGCACATCCTGCCTATTCCACTTTCTCAACATGTCCATAATCCTTACCGCTCACCAGGTCTTTCCTTCTTCTCTAGTAGCTCCATCGTCATACTGTTGAGTAGCAGTCTGTTAGCTACTAGCTGTCTTTCCTTACCCCAGTCCTCAGGTTATCTGAAAACATACAAACAGGAGTCTATAAAATCATGATTATAGACAAGATTGGTTGTATCACTCTACTGCTCATAGCTCTCTATTAGCTCTGCATCTCATTTTGCATGAAGTTAGAGTCCTAAGCCCATGTGGAAGTGGATCCTACTATTTCTTTGCCTTGGTCATCATCATAATTTTCTGCTGACACACACCGTCTTTCCCATATAAGTTGTCTTCTGCCACACTCAAGCTCAAGTACCTTTGGAGCTGCTATTCTCTATTCTTGGAATGCTCCTTGGATATCACTATAACTTGTTCCCAAGGGTCTTTTAGAACCCTGTTTTAGTGTCAGTTGGTATGCATTTTGAACCAACCACATTTCTTTTCTTTTTTCAAATGTTAAAAAAAAATCACAAGTAATGTGGCTCTTTTAACTAATAAATTGCCCAATTTAAAACCCAATGTCCAATAAGATGCTGGACTCTATGCTTGGTATATGTTTGCAAAGAAAGAATCTGGACTTAATTTGATCTGTAATACTACAACAAGGTGGAGGAATCCACCATGGGGAGAGGGCATGGGGAGGGATTGGGGGAATCCCAGAGCCTATGAAACTCTGTCACATAATGCAGCGTAATAAAAAAAAAAAAACCCAATAGCAAACAGGAGTTTTGGTCAAATTGTGTGTGTGTGTAACATACATGCATGACTTCCTGCTAAAATGTTAATTTTTATCTTAACAAACCTTGTCAGATTTAGAGTGTTAAAGTCCTAGTACACTTTTTGTTTGAGGAATTGGGTAAAGGAAAGGGAAAGGCATCTATTAAAAAGTGGTTATGCTAAAAGGCAGAATTGAGGTTTTTTCTGTTTCTTCTGTTCCCATGTGTAAGGATGTTTGCTTAGTAGACAAAGGCAAGTAATAATGTATCAATTTAAATGTGTACAGAATGTTTCAACGTATAGCTTGTTAATCCATGTAGTATAAATTTTTGCTTTGAGTAATTATTAGTTAAAAAAAAATCTCAAATGTATTGTAAGCCTTAGAGTCACATGTTCTTGAGATGGAGAGAGTGGCAGTAATATCAGATTGAAAGACCACAGGAAATAGAATTGAGATGGTAGTGTTTAGAAAGGCAGCATGGCTTGATGGCTAAAAGGAACCCTGGAATCAAGCTGCCTAGATTTGAATCCTCTTGTTCCATGTTTTCTCTAAGTTATTTAACCTTCCTATGCTAAAACTTCTTACATTAAACTAAGAATAATGGTACTACTGACTTGAAAGATTGTCTTAAGGATTAAATGAGGTGATATGTGTAAAGTCCTTCCAAAATCTGCCTTATGATTATTCAGTAAATTGAAATGGATATAGAGAAGAGATAGTTAACATTTGATGTTTTCAAATAATTTATTGTTAAAACTATGATTCCTTTAGTAAATGTTGATAAGTACACATATCAAATATCTGTATGCAAAACATAGTGACAGGAACTACTAATTAGAGATGATTAAGATACACCATTTGTCAAGTTTATGATTTGTAATTTAGTGAGGCAAAATACATAAATAAGCAAAAGCAGTGTCTTAGGAAAAATGACAACAAAAATTTATGACCTTGCAAAAGAATGATTTATGTCAACAGGAACGTAGGAGAAAGGTCTTAGTAGTATTTGGTCTAGGCTATGAAGAGGGAATAAGATTCTTGATAGAAATGAGGGTAAACTAATAACCTCTGTTTAAAATGGAAAATGTTGATTTTAAAGGAAGTCTGGGAACAATGAAAAAGGATTGTGAGTGAATGTGGAAATCTAAAATAACAAAATGACCCCATACCTTTTGACTTGGAGTGCTGTAGTGGTAAATACCGTGGTCATGGTGTGTCAAGGGAAGTATCACAGCAGAACTTTCTTGGGAAGAACAGATGCTGGTCCTATTGTTTTGACATGCTAACAAGAAGATCTAGTGATTCCTGTTTGGAATGAATGAAGGAAGTGTATGAGTTTCCCATGGAGGTGATTGTGATTGGAAAAAGATTGTTGGGAGGAAAAGATTAGGAGAAGATGTTCGGGGGATAAGGTCTGTGAAATGCTCAAAATTGTTAAGACAAAAGGAAATAGAACAAGAAAAGACAAATGTGGGAAAAAGAAAAATAGAACACTGTAATGTTCCAAAAGGCAAAAGGATTAAATTCTGGTACCAAGCACATAAAAAACTAGTAGAGTAAACATTTAATTATGTTTTGGCAGTTGCAAGGCTATGTATGATTTTGACAATAAGTTTTAAAAGAGTGGCTAGGGTAGAGGCCAGATGTGGAAAGTGATAATGAAGGACTCTTCAAAGGGTTTAACAGTGAAAAAGCAGAGAGTAATGGTAGTTTGGGTTGACTGGAAGACTTGAAAGCCAGGCAAACGTAGAACTTTTTGTTTTGTTTTACCCCCTTTTTTCTTTTATGTGAGATTTTAGTTTATTGAGTAGGATCAGAGAAGGATTGTAGCTGAAGATATGGGATTAGGAGCACATGATATCAGTAAACCTTGAAAGGGGTGAGGATGTCTGCCACATCCTTTCAAGTTGGTTTATCAGTTTATATTGGAGAACATTTGGGGGAAGTGGCAAGAAAGACCTGTTGGAGTGAGAGCATTGAGATTGGAGGTTTAGGAATATGAAAGGACTTGATTAAGCACTGGAGAATGAAGATATTGACATAAAAGGCATAGAAAATTACTGAGTCATCGCAAGAGTACAGCAGCTAAGGGAGGAAAATTAGCATTTTTTAATGACCAAGTGAAAGGAGGAGAGGTGGGATCTTATATGAGAACGAACCATAGGTTTCATAGGAATAGAGTACAGTCTCATAAACTTCAAAGATAAAGCAAAGACCAGTTGCAAGGACTTGCCATGCTTTTGTTGTTGTAGTAGGCGAGTACTACTTATTTCTGCCTCTTGGGGTCTCTAAATTGACTAGTTGCATAGTTGCCATCTCCTTTATACTATAGAGGCTAAAAAGATGGATAAAAGCTTTTCCATGCTGGGGTTACTGTGTAACTATGTACTACTTAATACTATGAGATGTATTCACTTCTACAGGAAGAAAATGTATTTTTATAGATTTTAGAGATTTTGAAAGTATGTAGAATTGTCTGGAGCATTAATATTCTTATTTATTCTTAGTGGTGGCTGCTGCTTCATTCCACTCGAAGGATTCAACTAACAGAAAATCTTTCACCAAAAATCAGCCCTGTTTGACATCCTTTAATTCTTTGGATGTTACTTCCTCTAAAGCAAAAAAAGGAAAGGAGAAGGAAATCGCAAGACTGAAACGACCCACAGCGCTTAAAAAGGTAAGCCAAGATCTGGAGGTTTACTTTACAGGATGCATAAAAAGTATTCATTCATTTTGCAGAAATGGTGGTGTGCTAGGCATTTGTCTTGGTGGTTAAATTGCCAGTTCAGATGTCCATGTCCCACTTGTGAGTATCTGAGTTTAATTCCCAGCTCTTCCTGTCTTACTCCAGTAGATTCTGTGATGAAATGATAATTGTCACAGATAAATGTCAAATTGTCACAGGAGAAATTGGATCGAGTTTCCAGTGATTTTCTCAGAGCCCAGTCCTGCCCTTATGGCATCTGGGGAGAGAACTAACAGTTAGGAATGCTTTCTTTTCTTTTCTTTTCTTTTTCTTTTCCTTTTTCTTTTCTTTTCCTTTTTTTTTCTTTCTTTCAAGATTTATTTTGTTATTGCTAATTCAGATATTCAGAGAGGAGGAGAGACAGAGAGGAAGATCTTTCGGCCATTGATTCATTGCCCAAGTGGCCGCAAAGGCCGGAGCTGTACCGATCTGGAGCCAGGAGCCTCTTCTGGGTCTACCATGCAAGTGCAGGGTCCCAAAGCTTTGGGTCATCTTCAGCTGCTTTCCCAGGCCACAGGCAAAGAACTGGATGGGAAGCAGGACTGTTGGGATTAGAACCGGTGCCCATATGGGATCCTGGCACATGCAAGGCAAGCACTTTAGTCACTGAGCTACCGTGCCAGGTCCATCTGTCTTTCTTTTCTCTCTCTCTTTTTCAGCTGGGTACGGGGGGATGATTGTGTCGTTTTAGCCAAACTCTCATTGTGCAGCATTCCTAGGCGTGCATCGTTAAGATGACGAGTTACATACCAAATCCTTGGACTCAGATTTAGAAACCCTGCATTTGCATTTCAGTGCATTCTGTATATGTAATGGATTATTGTAACAGAATAATATAATTCATGACCAAATAATTAAAAATGGTAAAATATTCTAATTGTGTGATATGGTTTCCAGATTCTTATATTTTTGGGAAAGTATAATTTGGTATCCTGGATTTAAAAATTATAGTAGATATTGTTTGATAGCTGTATATTCTACAATATAATTGCCTCTTTTTATTTTTGTTCAAAGTGTTTCATTTAACAGTGTCTAAAAGTACATTTCATTTTACTGAATTTTTATATAGCCAATTAAATTCATAACCAAGGAAAATCCTCATATGTATGGCTAAATGAACTACTATACCTGTGTGATAGTGTATTATAATCATTCAACACATAGTTAAGAACTGATAAGTAATTAAAGACCTGGTATACTGACTTTTAGGTTATTTTGAAAGAAAGAGAGGAAAAGAAGGGGCGTTTAACTGTGGACCATAATCCTTTGGGACCGGAGGAACCAGCAGAAATGCACTTAGATTTTATTGATGATTTGCCACAAGAGATTGTTTCCCAGGAAGGTAAGGAGGTTCTCTTTCCCTTTCATTCAGGGAGCAGTCTGGAGTGCTTTGGTTGATTAATTAAACCAACACTGCTTAGGCTCTTAGTTAGAGGATGTGATTTGATATAAATTTCTATATTGTTGAGAGTGATTTCTTTTGAAAAGGCAAAGTGAGTGGTAGTTGTTAGGCAATAGATCCGTTATATTTGGGGGGCTAAAAATCCCCAATTTTAGTAAACTTTCAGAACCTTTCATTTTTGTCTTCAGTTAACTTTACTTGTAGTTTTGATATTTTATTGAGTCATAATTTGCTAATGCTCCTTTTTGGTTTCAAGGGATTAGTACGTATGCCATAACAAAGAGTAGTATAAAGCAGAGTCTAGTTGGTCAGTAAAATTTAGTTACCCACATGAAGTAGGCAGCATAAGATACCAGTAACTTGACGAAATGATGCATTTCTTTCAGTATTTATAATACAACAAAGGAAGGTTTTTCTGCTGTTTTGTTATGTATTATTCTTAACCTTTTGATAACATTTTTAAGTCTGATTGATGCATAGATTAAGCAGTAGGGTTCAGTTACTTTTAGGGAAAAAATTACTTCTAAGGATTGTTCACCTAGGCAGATTTGGTTAGAAATCCTCTTTCTTATGTATTATGTATGTATTATGTATTATTATCGATCCATCCTTTCATCCAGGAAATTCTTGTTGAATACCCTGCTACTTGTGTTTAGTAATAAGAATGGGAGTAGTGAGGTTGGAGAATATAAAGATACCTAATGTACAGATCCCAGAATCACGAAATGCTTACAATATAGTAGGGAGATAAGATATATTTGTGATTTTCCTGGTTAATGAGTTAGATATATAAATATGGATTCCAATCCTGAGCTCAGCTGTTTAGAAAAGAAATAGTGATGAAGGAATATGGAAAATGAATGAGGGGGTAGTAAAGTCAAGAGAAGAATTCTGAAAACATGGCTCTCTGGACAGAACCAAAAATGGATAAAAGAGAAAAGGTATTATGCCTGAGAACTAGGAATGGTATGGAGAAAATGTATTGTTAGCAACAATGAGACTTTTTAGACGATAAAAAATCCTAAGCAATAGGTGGAAATGGGAAGCAAGGAGAGTAGGTGATACCATCTGGAAAGAAGTGCACTTCTTTATTCTTTTAATTCTGCAGTAAAACAAGTTTTAGGTTATTTGGTGTTTTGCTATCTCTTCTGTATACACTTATAGGCTATGCTTGAATTTTTTAAAGACTGTATTTTAGTAGGTAATAGGAACATAACATTTTTGTGGTGTATGAGAAATGTTATTTGTGATATGAGTGATGCTGAACCTGTTAGCTTCCAGAAAGTTGAGAAGTTACCCAAAAGACAACTGTCATTTCAAATTGTGTTTATCAGTCTAGAGCTTTTCGTCATTTGAAGTTTCTGAATTCTTTTCTATCTCCCACTTCTCTGTAGACACTGGACTGAGCATGCCTAGTGATGCGTCACTTTCTCCAGCAAGTCAAAACTCTCCGTACTGTATGACTCCTGTGTCACAAGGCTCTCCAGCCAGTTCTGGGATTGGCAGTCCAATGGCATCTTCAACAATAACTAAAATCCACAGCAAAAGATTTAGAGAGTAAGTATTGTTTTAAAAAATATTTATTTATTTTTATTGGAAAGGCATATATACAGAGAGGAGGAGAGACAGAGAGGAAGATCCTCCATCTGATGGTTCACTCCCCAAGTGACCGCAACAGCTGGAATTGAGCCATTTTGAAACCAGGAGCCAGGAGCTTCCTCCAGATACAGAGGTGCAGGGTCTCAAAGCTTTGGGCCGTCCTCGATTGCTTTCCCAGGCCACAAGCAGGGAGGTGGATGGGAAGTGGGGCCACCAGGCTTAGAACTGGCTCACATGTGGGATCCCAGCACGTTCAAGGTGAGGCTTTTAACTGCTACACTATCGCGCTGGGCCCAAGTATTTTATTTTTTAGGGGTGACTAGTATAAAGATCATCATTTTGAATGTATTATTACTTGGTAAGTTAAGCAGACAAAGTCAAAACATTTTAAGTTCTTTTAGGTTTTGGTTTCATGATTGATTTTTGGTTTACTTAAAGTATTGCTTTTTGTCGGTGTCCTTATTAAAGTGATTTGATAGTAAACATACTCTCTGGGTATCAGCGTTTTAACCCTGGCAACTTTACCACTATCATCTTTTTTTCAAAATGGGGGCAGGCATTTGGTGAAGCAATTAAGCTACTGCTTGAGACACCTGCAGTCCACACCACAGTGGTTGGGTTCGAGAAAAAGCTTCCCTCTCCATTCCAGCTTCCTGTCATTGGGTAACAGTTCAAGTACTTGGGTCCTGCAACCAATAAGACATTAGGATTGCGTTCCAAGCTTCTGGCTTTGGTCTGACTCAAGTCTTGGCTGTTGCAGGCATTTGAGAAATGCATCAATGGATGTGATCCTTGCCTGTCTGTCTCCTCAAACATATACAATAAATAAAGAAATTTTAGGAAGCGATACTGTGAGTTTTACCCCTATTTTGTTTATATTAAAACTTTTGTAGGCAGTTAATACCAAATATCTAAGAATATGTTACACAAGCTATTGATTTTTTTGTTGTGTTGTTTGGGTTTTTTTCCAAAGATTTATTGATTTTTTTATTTGAACGTCAGATTATAGAGAGGAGGAGAGATAGAGAGGAAGATCTTCCACCCATTCATTCACTCCCCGAGTGATCGCAACGGCTGGAGCTGTGCCGATATACTAATGAGGACTTTGCAGATATCTGATTCCAGGAGTCAGGATCCTCTTTGGGTCTCCCACATGGGTGCAGGGTCCCAAGGCTTTGGGCCGTCCTCGACTGTTTTTCCAGGCCACAAGCAGGGAGCTGGATGGGAAGCAGGGCTGCCGGGATTAGAACTGGTGCCCATATGGGATCTCTGCACATGCAAGGCAAGAACATTAGCTGCTAGGCTACTGCACCAGGCCCAAGCTATTTGTTTTTAAGCAAATATTTTAAGTTTTAGAATTGAGATAGAGGATCCTTAAAGTATGAGTTATTGTTGTGAAGGATTTTAACATTTGTGTAGATAAGTTAATTTGAACTTTAAAATGACATATGGAGCAAGTGTTTGCAGTTTGTCGTTTGAGACACCCACGTCTCATATCTGGAATTTCTGGATCCAAGTTGACCCTGCTCTCAATATGGTAGTTTTCCTGTTAATGTGCATTTCAGGAAGCAGAAAGTAATGACTCAGGACAGATGCGCATTGGGCACTTGGGAGTGTTTACTTAGTTCCCAGTTCGTGCCTGTGGCATGTCCCATACCTGGCTGGAGTGGGCTTTTGTGGAGTGAACCAGCAGATGTGAATTCTCTTTCATTTTATGTGTGTGCCTCTCAAATAAGCAAGAATAATAAATAAAAAATTGTAAGTGATGTATACTAATATAATCTGTGTGAGTCCAAATGATTTATCTATTGCTTTTCCTTATGCCATTGCTTTTGAGCAAATGCTTCTTGCTTAATTTTGAAAAGTTAATTAAATATCAAATAGCAGATGTGGAACAAATTAAACACTTGGAAAATAAAATATTACGTATGAATGAAGTAAGCAGCTTGAAAGAAAAAAAGAATGAAGAAAATTATTTTTTAATTGCATGCCTTAATTTTGCATACCTTATGACGATGAACGTTTCCTTAGTTTGCCCATTTATTCCTTCTGAAGTAGTTTTGTACTTTAAGTAGTTTTCATATAAGAGTTTCCCTCATAATTTTTTTTTGCACTAATGAAGGAAAGGTTTTTCTCTTGCATAATTTGGAAGTAGAAATGTGCTTTTGTGTTGTTGTTACTAGACTAGAAATTATCTCAGCTCTCCCTGGATATATTTTTCTCAGATGAATTTTCCTAATTTTTAATAATTTTTATAGAAAAATGTTAGAATGAGTTCATCTGTGTTTGTTTTCCTTTCCAGGTATTGTAATCAGGTTCTTTGCAAAGAGATTGATGAATGTGTGACTCTTCTTCTCCAAGAGCTTGTCAGTTTCCAGGAACGCATTTATCAGAAGGATCCTGTGAGAGCCAAAGCAAGACGACGACTGGTTATGGGCCTAAGGGAGGTTACCAAACACATGAAGTTAAACAAGATCAAGTGTGTTATAATTTCTCCAAACTGTGAAAAAATCCAGTCAAAAGGTATGCACATGATGCTTTTGAAGTGTTTTATTTTTTTTTAAAGATTGATTTGTTTTACTTGAATGGATTACAGAGAAAAGGAACGAGGGAAAGAGAGAGAGAAATCTTCCATATGCTGGTTCACTCACCAAATGGCCACAGTGGTTGGAGCTCTCCTGATCTGAAGTCAGGAGCCAGGAGCTCCTCCTGGGTCTCCCACATGGTTGCAGGGACCCAAGGATTTGGCCCATCCTTGACTGCCTTCCCAAGCCATTAAGCAGGGAGCTGGATCAGAAGTGGAGCAGCCTAGACACAAACCAGCACCCTTTTGGGATGCTGGCCAGCCCCTTGGTATTTACTTAGTAAAATTGTAGAATATATACCGTTTTGAAGTGGAACCCATATATCTTTCTCAATGGAGTATAGATATAAAACAAAATCTCCAGGATGAAAAAGAAAAAAAATTTCAGTACTGAAAGTAAGTCATGTGCTGAGATTGGACTGTACAGAAAGTGCTCTTGTGTGAACACTAGTGTAGAGAGTTTCGATCAGATCTGCAGAATGTCCCTCCTGTTGAGATCCTAGTGGGAGCCACTTGGGCCATTTCTTTATTTCTATATATTTCCTGTTTAAAAACTTTTAATATTAGCTTCTTTTATGTTTCTTTCTTCTGGAAAAGACTTAGGGCCAGCCTCTTCCCGAGACACTGGCATCTCATATGAGAGCTTATTAGAGTCTCAGCTACTCTGCTTCAATGTTGCTCCCAGCTAATGTGCCTGGGAAAGAGCCCAAGATAGCCTAAGAGCTTGGGCTTTGCACCCGTGTGGGAGACCCAAAAGGTGCTCCAGGCTCCTGAATTTCATCTAGCCGTTGTGGCCATTTGGGGAGTGACCCAGTGGATGGAAGATCTCTCTCTTTTCATTCTGTCTCTCCCCCTTGTCTGTACTGTTTATCAAATAATAAATTTAAAAAATGTTAAACTCTAAAAAAAATTAGATAGACAGGCGACGTTCTCTGCTTCTGTTGGAGATTTGTCAGAAGCCAGAGATTGCATGGATCAAGATGCATATACTTTGGGTGAAGCACTTTTTACCGTGTCTGTGTCCTTGCTTGTCCTGTTTGATGGAAGAGCTGTTTGGGTGACTGGCATAGGTAGAAGCATCTAGTAGTATTGTTAGGCACAAGCACAGGAAAAAGAGACCAGCTGAACCATATGTATTATCTGTCTGCACTGTGACAAGTCCCTGTCTGACCCAAAACATTGGTTATTAAAAGTTTTAATTAACTTATTTATAATGAATTTTGAATTGAAATTTGATTTTTGCTTTGTTAATTTCCATAAAGAAACTAAATTATTGTGCTCGAAGGAATTTAGAATTTAACTGGGGAGAAGGAGAACAAGTATCTCCATTTCTAAGAGACAAGGTCATTTAGAGTGTGTGTAACAGTATAAGTGCTACTAGCATCAATAAAATTCTTTACTGCAGTGTTTTGTGCTTTCACTGTGGCATGCTCTGTGAGCTCCACTTAGGAAATAACTAAATGAAAACCTCCGTGTGTGTGTTGATTTTCTCAGGCGGTCTGGATGAGGCTCTGTATAATGTTATAGCCATGGCACGAGAACAAGAAATTCCTTTTGTGTTTGCCCTTGGAAGAAAAGCTCTAGGGCGCTGTGTGAACAAGCTAGTTCCTGTCAGTGTAGTGGGAATCTTCAACTACTTCGGTGCTGAGGTAAGAAACACTGATCCTTCACACATCCCCTTGTTGAAACAGGCCAGCATTATCTTCACGCATTTGAAGGAGTGATGACTCTGAAAGAATCAATGGAAAATTCTTGACTATTATATTTCCTTTATGAATAGTGAAAAATTTACATAGATTAATCTTACAGCAATTTGAAAAACTTGTACTTTGTTTTCCTGGATCAGATAGGTAGTAGTTGATGATATCCTGGCTAAAAAGATCCAGTATTATGTAATGTGAAACAATTTCTTCTGCTTCTTTGATGGGTATGTTATTATGCTACCGGAAGTCAAGAGAGAAAAGAACCCTTTAAGTGGAAGGAACTTCTCCTTTAGAAAATGAAATTCTGAGCTCAGTGCAATAGCCTAGTGGTTAATCCTCACCTTGCAGGACTTAGTATCCCTTGCTGGTGCATGTTCCAGCTTCTCCGTTTCCCAACCAGTTGTCTGCCCGTAACCTGGGAGAGCAGGTTTGAGGATGGCCCAAAGCCTTGGGATCCTCTATCTACATGGGAGACCTGGAAGAGGTTCCTGGCTCCTGACTTCAGATTGGCTGAGCTCCAATGGTTGCAGCTGATGGAGAGTGGACCAGCAGATGGAAGATTCTTTCCCTCTGTATCTCCTTCTCTTCCTGTATATCTGCCTTTCCAGTAAAAATAAATAAATCTTAAAAAAAAAAGAAATGAAAATGAAATTTCTAAGCAAATTGTTAAAATACTTTGCATCTGTCGCACCCATTTCTCTCCTATTGAAATAAAGCTGAAAACTAAAAAGGTTATTAATACAGAATTTTAGACTTTTTTTGAAGTTGATCCTTTGTTACTTCTTGATGACACTGACACGCATTACTGTGCTAGTTTGTATATTTTAAAGTGCCCATCCCTTGCTTTTCAGTCACCGTGTTTGCATGCTTCCATTTCCTTATCCATTGAGCTTCTCTCCTGCCTATCACCTACTTTCTACTTTCTATGAAAATATAAGTTAATATTTATGCTCCCTCATTAGCCCATATTTTTCTCCTAGCTTACCATACTGCTTTGCTGTGGTTTATGTACCTTTCTTTCCTTTTAACAAATGTGACTTATTTGGCAGCAAGTCCCTTGTCTTTATATTGCTGACACTTCTCATTATTTGATCTTGAACAGCCTATAAACATTTATTGACGAATGTGATACTGTTTGTCTGCCAGCTATTCAAGTAAGCTGTTTGTGAAAATTTTATAAAAGCCTCTATGGAAAAGAAAGCTCATATATAAAGATCAAAATAAAGGTAATAAAAAAGAGGTTGATCATAATCTTTCTGTTTTCAGAACCTGTTCAATAAGTTAGTTGAACTCACTGAAGAAGCTAGGAAGGCATATAAAGATATGGTTGCCGCAATGGAACAAGAACAAGCAGAGGAGGCCTTAAAGAACGTGAAAAAGGTACCGCACCACATGGGGCATTCCCGGAATCCCTCTGCAGCAAGCGCCATCTCCTTCTGCAGTGTTATTTCTGAGCCCATCTCTGAAGTAAATGAAAAGGAGTATGGTAAGTTGTGTGCCATATTAAATTACTTTGAAATGAAACCATTTACAGGTTGCAGATCATTCCGTATAGGCATCTATGCTACTGTTTACTTTCAATTTTATTATTCAGATTTTGTTCAATGTTTTGGTTTAGAAATGTGTATGTGTCCATTAAAATTAGGTCGTATTTGAGACCTTCTGTGAGACCCTGGAGTTTAACCAGTTTCAGAAATCTTAAAAAGACCGTAATGATTTCCAAAACAGTGTATTATACTTGTGATGTATCACTAAGTGAATACTAGCAAGTTTTATTCTAATATTTTCAGTCTAAGCAAAACTTAGTTACAAAGCATTTGCTTTGAGCTAAATCTAATTGTAGAAAGAAAAACAGATTGAAAATAGCATTTACCTTTAATATTTTTATTTTGGTCTATGGCTTAGTACATTCCTTGTTTTAATTTTGTAATACTTTGAACTTTTGAAGTTCTCTTTCTGGGATCTCGTTTCTGATTCATGTCCCTATAGCCCTGTTCCTCTTTTTAGTCCTCTGTTCATCCTTTGCTTCTCCTGTTAATCTTATCTGCGAATTTTCTAAATAGCTGGTTGCCATCTAAAACCTAACATGCAAAGGCCAGAGTTCTCAATAAAGAAGGTGAAGAGAAAGCACTAGTTTTGTAAGTAAAGTAGATTCTGTGTGTATACTGAAGTGCCGAGTCTCAGGGGAAAATGACAATAAATGCATAAAGCTGTGAGTTTGTGCAGATGACACAGTAACGGATAATCTTCCTATGGATGCAAGTAAAGTAGTGGAGGCCAGTGTTGTGGTATAGCAGGTTAAGCCAACAGCCTGTAGTGCTGGCTGGCATACCATGGGCACTAGAGCAAGTTCCAACTGCTGCACTTCCAATTCAGCTCCTGTGTAGTGCACCTAAGATGACCCAAGTACTTGGGCCCGTGCATCCAGGGAGACCTGGATGGAGTTCTTGCTTCAGCCTGGCTCAGCCTCAGCCATGGCAGCCTTTTGGTGGGAATGAAAAGATAAATGCATTTGAAATGTTTTGTTTTGTTTTATGACACAGTTTAATAGGCATTTGGTTTCCCCTTCCCCTTCCCCTTCCGAAGTACCCTCCCCTCCTTGCTGATTTTCCTTTCAGTTTTACAGTGGATGTCTTTCATGAACTTTCATAAATCTGTCATGCTGCTACTGAGGTGTCTCCCAACAATGTAGGCATAGACAGTGTTGGAGAGTCCAACATCCAACTGTCAGGACATTATCAGCCATTTCACTGGGAGTCCATGCTTGTACTGTATTCATAGAGACATACTGTTCTCTGTCTCCACCTCTGAACTTACCATTATCCACTACATTTCCATTAAAATGCACTCGAAATTTAAGAAAAAAATCTATTGTTAATTTTCTTTTCATACTCGAGTGTGTCTGTGACAATTTTCATTAGATAGACTCCCTGCTGCTCCTAAAGCTCACTGCACACCCACTTGAGGGACACAGCTGCACTAGAGTGGGAGTCCAGGGGGCTAAGACGGGGTAGAACAGCGAATGAAAAGCAATGGGTTTTCAACTGTATATGTAAAAAATTGCTGTGGGAGTTTGTATTACTGAATGCTTCTTAAGAAAATCAGGGAAGACTTTCATGAAGAGCCTGCCATTTAAGGGTGATTATCAAAGATGAGTAGGAATTTAAAGGGGGAAGGAGGAAAATGCATCTTATTCCAAAAGGTGAGTGTGTGCTACAGTGTAGAATATGTTGTAACTTCAGTCAACGGGTAGGATTCACAACTACACTGAGCGTGGACACCATGAGACAGGACTGAGGCAGGTAAGGACTGGATTATTGAGGACTCAGCTATACCAAATCAAGGAGTGATGGTCTAGGATAACACAAAGCCAGTTAGACAATGATGGGATCCAGTGACAAAATGGCTAGGATGTTAGATAGTGAAAATGGACAATCAGATAAAGAAGGCCTGAACCAAGGTAGTAGTGAACAAACATTATAACTTTTGAATTAGTAGTGACATGGTTTATGAATGAAAAATATGTTAAGGAAAAAAAATAGGATCAAGGTTTACTATCAGTTTCTTCTGCTCTGAGACTTTGTAAATGACAGTGCCATTAACTGAGAATGAGAACGTAAGAGGAAGAGATTTCGTTTTCTTGAGCCTGAAGTGAGCGACAGGAAGGAAGGATTGTTTTTCTAAACCATGTGCCGTGACTTGGAGTGCCAAAAATGTGGCCTGTGTTAGCATGTAGTCCATGAGAGATAGGGTGAGTACATTTATGTGTGTAGTTTGCTTCTGTTACTATAACTTGATAAGAATATCATGCCCTTAAAATGCAAGTAGTAGCGGGGCACCGTACTGATTCCTGGTATGTTATTTTGTCCTGTGTCAATTTCTTATCATTGAAAATAGCCTAGATTATCACTGCTCTGTCATAACACTTGCCTTTGCCCTCCACAGTCACTTTGTAAACAAGCCACTTAAACAGATATTCCAAAATGTTAGAAATGCATGGATGGGTTATTTGCCTGTGTGTGGAAACACATTCATACCGGGCCAAAGACATATTGGGCCACTTGCTCAGTGAGTATGATGCAAATTCAGGAAATCAGAACTGTTTTCACTGGACATGCTGGCCCCAGCATCTCTCAGCTGTGGGTCCTTGAGGCTAGTGTCCCACTAAGTTGCACAAATAAACAAATTTTAAAAATTGAAAATTCATTGATTTTTTTGGAATATACAAATTTTATGTGAATGCCAGTGAGTTTCTGTTATATCTTTTACTCTCTGAAATATTATTCTTTTGTCTCCTTCCTTTTAATGTACATGTTTGACAAATGTTTTCTCTTTATAATATTTAAACTAGTACTAGAATAAATTGAATTTTAGTTTTCCAGACAGTTGCTGAGCCAACATATTTCTGTATTGTATTCTTCCCTTTTATTTGGGGAGGGGTTTCTGGCTTTTAAAATTCTGTTTGATATTTGTAGAAACAAATTGGAGAAACATGGTGGAAACTTCAGATGGACTAGAGACGTCTGAGAATGAGAGAGAGGTTTCTTGTAAGCACAGCACATCTGAAAAACCCAGTACACTTCCACTTGACACAAGCCCTGTTGTTAAGCAGCCATCATTAGTGGCTGCAGGCAGTACTACCTCAGCTACAAACCCTGGGAAATCTGCAGCAAGTGATAAAGAGGAAGTGAAGCCGGATGACCTAGAATGGGCCTCCCAGCAGAGCACAGAGACCGGCTCTTTGGATGGCAGTTGCCGAGACCTTTTGAATTCCTCCATAACTAGCACCACCAGCACTCTTGTACCTGGAATGCTGGAAGAGGAAGATGATGAAGAAGAGGAAGAGGATGAAGACTATACTCATGAACCCATATCTGTAGAAGTGCAGCTCAATAGTAGAATTGAGTCTTGGGTCTCAGAGACCCAGAGAACTATGGAAACCCTGCAGCTTGGAAAAACCCTGAATGGTTCCGAGGAAGATAATGTAGAGCAGAGTGGAGAAGAGGAAGCCGAGACAGCCGAAGTGTTGGAGCCAGGGGTTGACAGTGAGGCCTGGTCTGCAGATCAGCAAGCTGGTCCCGAGCAGCCACAACGGAAGCCCAGCAAGTGCAGCTCCCTGAACCAAGAGCACTCGGAGTTTGATTCTTCACCCCAGAATGCGTAACTCAGGAAACGTTTGCGTTCTCCAACTGTGTAAGGGTTGTAGCCATTACCTTTTATGCTTCATCTCAACGTTTTGCACTGTCTAGTATTTAATATATATGTTTAATTCCTGATAACTATTTTTGTAGCTTTGACCTGTTTTGTTATGATCTAGAGCTTAGCTTTTAATTAGCATCTAAGTGTTTTTCTAGGAAATGCGTGGATAATTCAGACCTGTTTTGGCTTATTTTGTAATGGAAACAATGATTACAAAAAGACCAGGTTTTAAAGTAAATAAAATTTAAAACGCCTATTTAAAGTCATTTTGAAAGTTAATGATCAGGGTTATAGAAAGATAGAAGCAGTCACCAATGTTTGCTTTAAGACTATGCCATCTTCATTCTGACTTATCTGACCTAAAAGTTTTTGCAGCTTCTTTATGAAAGAACTGGAGGTCGAGTCAGAAAAATAAACAAAAGCTGCAGATAACCCAGGTAACCAAGAAACAAAGTGTTTCATATTTAAAAAGAAAAGAGAAGTTTGACACAGCTTTTACTTGATCCACACTTGCTTGTTTCAGAGGTTACAGAGGATGGTAATCCATTAAGTCAGGAAGAATTAACAGAGTCTTCAAGTCTTGGGCCAGCACTGGAGCCACCATGGTAGAGTAAAACAAGCTGGCACCATTGGTGGAAAGTGATGAATGTTGTCTGGATCAGTGAGCATCACTCATGACAGGACCTGCCAGAGTCTGTTCACGTTTGCTTCTCACTTACCTCAGGAATGCTTTTGTACATAGTGTTATTTACATGAAGTTAGGTGAATAACCATAACCAGTAGTATGATGACAGCACTTACACGGACACTCCCCGAAACGAAGTCTTATACTGGTGTGTTCTTATGCACGCTCTGGTTCTGGACACTCTTGACGGGAGATACAGATGTGACTGAGTCTCTAAATTTCTCCAGAGTGTGAAACCAGTTGATCTTATTTTATAATAGATTTTTACACCTCGCTTTGAGCTCCTTCCATTTTAGGACCATGGCTAACTGATAGGAGGTCAAGGAAAGGAATTTTGCACATCTTGTAATGTGTATCTTAGTAATCAAGGCTTAGAAGAGGAAGGTTGAGAAGAGAAAGTTGTTCTGATGGTGGTGAAACTATTAGATTATTTAGCGTATACACATATATGCAGATATTAATTCTTTACTCATTATTAGTTATCTCTGTCCTTCTCTAGGAATGTATATACCTGTTTGGGAGGAATTAAACTTACTGAGCCAGATGTTTTATTTACTAGTTAGTCACTGCCTGGGCTTTAGTGATTTACAGTATGTGTACGTAATGGTGTGAGAAATTACAAATTATTTTCTGTCTTACCTCCAACTCCCTCTTTTTCCCCCAACAGCTCTCCGTCTCCCTGTCCCCCACCCCACAGATATACACACTAACTTCCCACATAGAGGCTCCCATAAGCAGGCACAAAAATGAGGAGGAAGGGGTATTTTCTCCGCCCTGGTTAGATTGAACAGGGCTTTGCCTTACAGAGGCAGGAAAGAAGTCAGAAGGTTATTTATTGAAATCCTTGGAACTACTGTGCTAGTTTTGATGTTTTATATTGTATACATTTAATTATTGAAGAAATTGGATTCTTGGTCGATGACTTAGTGTTGGTGCATTGTGCAAGTTTAGGAGCAATGCTGTGTAGAAAATGTCAGTGTATCATCTTTATCAGCATGCCAAGAAGGGGGCATTATTACATTGTCCTACCTAAACTGTTCTCCAGCATAGAATTCCTAGGCACCAGTTATCCAGTACTTGAGGGAACACAGTATGTAAGGAATGATGCCTCCGGAGTAGTGATCATAGATTTATACACGGCAGATCTTACAACCTCTGTACATTTGGAAGTATTTGTTTAAGAAATGATAGATGTTTTGAACTACTGACAATCTTTACAACAAATTTTAAAACTTTCATACTTTTCTGATGTAAATTTCCTTTGCTCAATGTCAGTGATTCAGATAACTCTTGATCTTGAGGTAATGGCTTTTCAAAGGTTTCTTATATTTTATATCTCTTCTGAACATGAATTATCATTTCAGATTTTTGACATTTGTATTAAAAAGTTGAGGAAATCTTCAGAACACCAACAAAACTTTTGCTGTAGACTTCAGATTCAATGATGTGTTCAGTAAACGTTTCTGTACTTGCAGTACCGCCTCTGCCAACAAATCCAAGGGACCACGGCGTTTTTTTATACGAGACAGGTCAGCTCCAGCGCACAGCCTGAGCTTTCCTAAAGGAAGTGCTACTGTGTTGAAAGGGGGTGCTTGAAGAAGTGTTAATAAAGTCTTGATAATTGCTTTCTTTAGATAGATTTTGAAATTTGTGTACCTTGAGTCACAGGCTTTGGAGAGGTAGGAACATTGAGTTTTTTTTTTTTTTTTGTCTGTTTGTTTCACTTTGGAAGTGGATGTAGTTGGCTCTTTGGAGATCTAGAAAGAGATTTAATGGTGAGATTAGGGTTTCAGCATCACAAGAACCACAACCATAGCAGTTTTTTCTTAGTGTATAGAGAATAGAGATTGTTTTACTGGCAATAATAAATACTAGATTTCTATTCTAGCACATAAATATATGAATTGCAATATAAATTACACTCTCAAAATTAGATTTCTGCTTCAGTAGGTTTTTTTTTTTTTACTGTGAAGGTTACTTCTCAAAAGACAAATGTTCATATTACTTTAATTTTGGTTTCAATGTTTGTAAATGATGTGTAATATATTTCTTTTGACTAAACATGGAAAAATAATGCGTGTTATACATTGAAATGTTTTTTACAGGCTTTGATTGGAGGTCATTTTTGCAGAGATGGTATTTTATATGCTTCCAGTATTTGGAAAAGAATTAGTCAAAAGGAATTCACATAGTTTAAATATTGAGAAATTAATATCCAAATAATATACTTGTCTGATTTCTTAATAAGCTGGGGGAGGTGGGTGGGGTGGGAATGGTAATGTGCAAACAAGCAGTTACTCCATGTTCATTTTCAACTCTAACATAAAATCACTCGATGTTAACACATTGTTACTTTAATATTTGTATAAAGAAGTATTATTGTTTGTAAGGCTGCTGTTTGCTTAAAAAAAAAAAGAAAGCCCTTGTTATGTAAGTATTTTCTGTACATTGTGCCAACAGGTTAGAATATTAATTTAATCCAGGTGAAAATTTTATTATTTTGATTTTTTTAAATTATCTGTAAGATAATTTATTTACAGACATCTTCTTCCTCCTCCCTCATTCTTTGCAACCTTTTATACGCATCACAGATTCAACCAAATTGTTGCCTACACCGAATCTCAGTCCTAATTAATGGCAAAAATTTAAACTTTGTTGGCACATTCCACATTAAAAATATTTGTATTCTTTTGTAATTTAATTTCTGAATAGACCACATGAACTTATAATTTAATGTCTTAATTGTAATGTTCTAATAATAAAAGTAGTGAAATTAGTATGAGTTGTAAAATGAAGGGATTTTTCATCTTGTTCTTTTGCTTTATGAAGGATAATTGTTGTATCACATTTGGGGGTTAACAACAGCTTTTTTTTTTTTTTGCACTATGTAAATACCAGTGGGGATTGTTCTGTACTAATAAAATGATTATTGAAAAGTGGTCTGTCATTTCAGAATATGTTACTGAAAGCGTTTGTGACTTATCTAATATGTAGGCTAGAGGGAAAAAGTCGCACTTGGAGTATTGCTCAGTGCTTGCATGAATTTGCCAAGAAATCCACGGGAAGTAATTAATCATACAGAGCTCTATGTGGGATGAGTGGTGTGGTCTGCAGACCTGGATGTTGACCAGAGCCCATGCTGGGAGTAAGAGAAAGCTGCTGCAGATTCTGTCTCCATATTCCATCTCCTATTCATTGAAGCTTCTAATAGCCCTTTGGATGCTGTTAACTGATTCTCAATTTCCAGATCAGAAAGAGTCATGAAGATACCGAATAATTGCACAAGATCAGTGTAATGGTTCCATGGCAGAACTGAAACTCGGTCCTATCCGAGTTCATTGAAGCATTTCATCAGTGCTGTGTAGTATCCAACACCAAGTACTCAGTCTATGCAAACCAAACATGCTCCCTAGCCAGCTTCAGGTGCCTTCTGGAATGTGAAATGTGGAGACCTGGTAGACTTTGGGATTGGATTTATTGGGAGTCACCTGATCACTCCTGAGGGTATTCCCAGATCTTATCACTGTATCACGTTGAAATGTAGAGAAAGTCTGAGGAGACTTGTCAGTTAGGAAAAACAATAAACTTCTTTAGTAATCACAAAGAGAAGGGATAACTCATCCATTGTGCCAGGTGTCTCAGTTTTTGAAAATGTTTGTATCACTCTCTGTAGTTGTTTTCTCAGTAGTGATTGGTTTTTCTCCTAACTGGCCAGTAGAGGGTGTGCATGGCACCTGAAAGCAGTCAAAAGTGCCAAGGTAAAAACTTATTTATTAATTTGTTTGTTTATTTTAATATGAAGTTGGGAAGAGAAGTATTCTGAGCTATGGGCCTTGCTGTAAAAAGTACAACTTCTGAGTTTTAAGCATAGAGCTCAGAAACTGTGCCCATAAGGATATCATTTCATTTTAGAGAACTTAGACTGCTGTTAAGGGATCAGTTGTGTGACATTTCTAAATTATTTTGAGCCAATATTTTTGGCATGCTTAGATTGTTCTGATGTTACTGAGAGGAAGTATAACTTTTGTAAAATATTTGTTTCTAGACGTCACTGATAGCTTGGGAAATGGCAGGGCCATAGCATCCTCCTTTGGGATCTCACAAGGCAACATTTGGAGAAATGTCAAGTGTTTCTGTTCCAAGCCCAGTCTGAATGCTTGGATTCCTCCCTAGTCTTATCTCTCCATCTTGACAGGTGACAGCAAATAAAAACATGTAACAACCACTGCCTTATAATGGTGGACCTCTGATTTCAGCTTTCAGTTGCACTCTTGTCTAGCAGAATAGTGACAGGAATAGCAGAGGTGCCTATTAAAGTATGCACATACCATGAGTGCTTGCTTTCACCCCTCCCCCTTCTTACCAAGCTTTGTTTAACTGAGTTGGAGACTTTCATTGCTTTGTAAACTCTCAGTTTGGGAACAGGATAAAGAATTGAAACCTATGCAGTTTTGTTATGGTTGAAGAGAAAGGAAAGACTTGTTTAAAAGTATTATCTTTTCGGTCAAAGTATCAGATATATCTTTCCTTATTGTTTTTTTCTCTTGCTTCTCCTTTTCTATAACCACTGTTGCAAGAAAAATAGTTTCTTTTTTGTTTTCTCTATGTAAGTTTGACTAGGGATATCATGCTTTCCTTTGCAGTCTTTACAGCAATTTGCAGTGCTCGATTTTTTTCAATTATTGTTATTTTTAGTAGCATTTTATGATACATTCCATAGGCCCTGGGATTTCCCTTATCCCTTCCCCAAATCTCCTCCCCTCAAAACACACTGATTTCCTCTATATTATTGCAATTGTGTAGTTCTTCGTAAATAGTCATAAGTTCATTATTGCGGGCGTAGAAAATGGCAGAGAGTCCAGCATCCTATTGTCAAGATATATTTAGGAGTTTCATTGGGAGTCCATTTTTGATCTGCAAGTAGAGATCCTTACTGCATTGTCTCCTCACATCTAGATATGCTAGTCTCTATTATAGTTAGTATACATCCCCTTAAATGGAAAGCCACAAAACAAAATCAACAGGAAGCAAAATAGAAATTTACAATGCCATGAAGTTGAATAACATGCTACTACTGACTAATGTGTCATTGAGGAATTGAAAAAAATGAAAAACCTTTTTGAAAATGATACTACTGTGTTACCTATAGGTTAGTGAAGAATTTAATGAGAAAAAAAGACTGTTTTGAAGAAATGAAAACAAAAACTTCAAAATCCATGAAATATAGTATCTACTGGTTTTTGTTGGTGAGATGTGTTTCTTGTAGGCAACAAATAGATGGGTTTTGCTTTTTTAATCTAGTCTACTAATCTGATGTTTCATTGATGGGTTTAAGCCATTTACATTCAGCATTAATATGATTAGGTGGTAATTTGGTTCTGTCATTTTAACAATGGATTGTTCATTGACTGATTTAATCTTCTGTTGTTATTTTGCAGAATGTTCTTCACATTTGCTTTGGGTTTTGATGGATGCTATTACTTTTCCCTGTCAAGAGAACATCTTTAAATATCATTTATAGGGCAGGTCTGGAAGAAGCATATTCTTTGAGCTTTTCTTTAATGTGGAAGAATTTTATTTTCAAAGACATATTCTGGTCCAACAATTTTTTCCTTTTAGAATCTGGAATATGTCACTCCATTCTCTTCTGGCCTGTAGAGTTTCCTGTGAGAGATCAACTGTGATTCTGATTGGGTTTCCTGTATATGTCAATTGATTTTTTCCACATGCACATTTAAGGATCTTTTCCTTATGTTTAATTGAAGAGAGCTTAATTATCATGTGTGGTGGTGAAGATTGTTTTTGGTTACCCCTTTTGGGAGTTGTATGCCCCTCCTATATTCTGTTTCCAAATTCTTTCTCCAGATTATGGAAGTTTTCCTTTTTTATTAAATACATTTTAAAAATGTATTTATTTTGGGTCTGGCACTGTAGACTAGTGGCTAAAATGCTCATCTTGCATGTGCCAGGATCTCATATGGGCACCAGTTTTTTTTTTTCTAATTTTGATGATTTTTACATAGTTGATTAGGGCTCAAAGGGTCAAGGGCTACAGGAAAGTGGGTAAGACCATTGTTTCCACATTCTCTTTTGTCCTTCTTGTATCTGGGGGAAGGGGAGAGACAAAGGGAGAAACCACACCCACCCTCTCAACCATCCCAGGGTCCCTGATATAGACCATGGTCCAATGGCACTGCTCAAGTGGTTTTGATAGTTCAACTGTTCTGAATTGTTGCCAATCTTGCCATTCCAAGCATGATGCAATTTCTTCAGACTCCACTGGCTGACATAGTCTACCTTAGTGTCTCCACTTGCCCAGATTTTCACTGCCGACACTTGGATGGGGTAGTTGATCAATTTGTTCTGTCTTCTGTTGTGGTGCCAGGTGTCCTCTGCCAGCTCCAATGTACTACCATATCCACCATGTGCATTTGGATATACTGTCCACTGCTCCATCTGAGCTACTGAGGTGGTTCAGCTTTGACATATGGACTCCATGATCAGACCATGGAACCTGCAATTCTCTTCATGGTTGGGGTCCTGAGTCCAACAGTTCAACTGAGGGGATCCCCAAAGAAGCTGTCTGAAGTGATCCCAGACCTGATTCGTGGGTGTGCTTGCCAGTACAGGGTCTGGCATAGTCCGTCACCCCTATCAGCCTATGCATATGTTGATGGTTGTCATTGTTGGGTCACTTCTGCCTCCAGCCCTGTCTTCTACACAAACCAGTGGGTGTTGGAGCCATTGCAATCCTGCCCACCATACACTTGGCCACATAAACCAGTGGGAGCTGCAGCCTAGTTAGGGAGACCCCCAGTATCCCTCACCAGGCCTGTCAACTGCCCTGGTTCCCATGCTTGCCAATATGTACAGCAGACTGGTCCATTCTGTTCCACATCCCATTCAGCTCTCCTACGTGTCAATGCACATTGAAGCCTAGTTCAACCCAATCAACCCCACTATCCAACCCACACACCTCCTAACGGGTGCCACTCTCTGTCTAGCCATGCCTGCCCAGTCCTGGTTCTCATGCTCACCAGATGGAGTGGCAACCCAGGAGGGAGGTGCCCACTGTTTCCCTCCTGGGTCCACTCTGGATCATACACTCTCCAGGTGATTCTGCAGTTTGGCTTGACAGAATTAGTCCCCTTTGCTACCATCTGCTAGCTGATGCTATGGTAGAGTCCTACCAACCCACACTCACTCTGACCTATGCTTGCACCAGCAAGAACAGTCATCCCAGCCTGGCTTTTCTCTGGTCCAGCTCACATGAGGCCCACAGGTGTTGTAGCCCTGCCTGGTCTGGTCTGCCCCATCCCAACTAAAGCTCTACAGTGAGAGTGGTGATCCAGCAGGGAAGGCGCCACAATCCGCCTACAAGCTTTCCCCCCTCTTCCCCCCTCCCTCTGCCCGGGTCTCACGTGTCCTGGTTGGGTGCTGTGGCCCTGTCTGGCATGGCCTGCTTCACCTTGGCATTTGCCAGTGGGTGCTATAATCTGGCCTATCCTGGCCCACCCCCAATTTCAGCTCAGGTTGGTGGGGGCTACAGCCTAGCCCAACCCAGCCGACACCCAGTCCAAGCCCTCATGTATGCTGGTGTGTGTTGCAACCAAACCTGGTCTGACCCACACTCGATTCTGCTGCTTGGTTTCGCCAGCGGGTGATGTGAACTGGCCCTGCCTGGTTCGGCCCTGACCTGTGCCATATGTATGCCGGTGGGTACTATTCCCTGGCCTGGTCTGGGCTGTTCCCTATCATGGTTTGTGCTCTCACATGCATGGACTGTGTCCTGATGAAGAGGTTCCTCCATCAGAACCTCTCCCAATGCCAGATATCACACACGGGTGGGTCCATGAACCAGCCCTACTCAGTCCATCTCCTGATCTAGCAGGAACAGTGGCCTTTCCTGACTGGCCTTCAACCCATTTTGGTTAATATT